TTAAAAAATATCAGTTTGGGACGCCTGAGTGGCTCAGTCGGTTAAGCATCTGCCTTTGGCTCAGGTCACGATCCCAGGGTACTGGGATCGAGTCCCGCATTGGGCTCCTTCCTATGCGGGGAGCCTGTTTCTCCCTCTGCCTGTCACTCCCCCTGCTTGTGCTTGTTCTGTCTCTCTCCTCCTCTCTCTCTGACAAATAAATAAAATCTTTAAAAAAAATTAAAAATATCAGTTCACTGAGATACATCTTCCAAAATGTTTTCATATTTCATTATATAATATGAACAAGTGTCACCAACAGTCTTAACAGAGAACTGGAAAATTGTGAAGCTTACTGTGGCCAACACAAGTTTTCTAAAATTCTGATTTTTACTCAAAAGATTGAACTTTATCATTGGCAACCAGTATTGTCATTTGTTTTATTTGAAGTGACAGGCTCACTTTATTGTTGAGAAAGTAACTGCTGAATACCAAGTCAGAATCACCATGGTTTGAAGTCTATCAGTCATTCTTTCAAGTAAAAAATAGTAGTTTACACAAGTTGTTAGTTCAGCTCGCAGTTCAAACATGCAATTGCTTTTCTTTGAGATAGCCATTAATCTCTGTTGTGCCTCAGAGGTGCTTTATAGACACTTCCCATTTAGTGACAGAACAGGGTCAGCAAACATTTTCTGTAAAGGATCAGAGAGTAAATATTGGACTTTGTGGACCACTGAATTTAGTTTGAGTGTTGTAACTATTCAACTATGTCACTGTAGTGTGAAAGCAGCCTTAGACAATATGTAAACAAATGGGTATGGCTGTGTTCCAGTAAAACTTTATTTACAAAACAAGAAGCAAGCCAGATTGCCCAGCAAGCTGTAGTTTGCCATCCCCTGACATAGGATATTAAAAAGATGAATATTTTAAGGTCAAGACTTTTTTTTTAAGATTTTTATTTATTTATTTGACAGAGAGAGACACAGCGAGAGAAGGAACACAAGCAGGGGGAGTGGGAGAGGGAGAAGCAGGCTTCCCACCGAGCAGGGAGCCCGATGTGGGGCTCGATCCCAGGACCCTGAGATCATGACCTGAGCCAAAGGCAGACGCTTAATGACTGAGCCACCCAGGTGCCCCAAGTTCAAGATTTAATAAAAGTTATAACTTCTCCTTCATCAAGGACATGCCTCTCAGTAGCATTTTATCTGATCATTCTTCCATTTCCACTCCAGCACCCATCCTTACCTCTCCTCCTGTGTGACCTTCCTCTCTAAGGCTGACTCTGACATCTGAGCCCTGAATTCTAGAGCTCATTCTGCCTCTAGACTTTCCCATAAGTCATGTCTATTCTCTTTGTACCCCCAACTCTTTTTGCCTTTTCCTACTTGGTCTTAAACATACTTAAATGTCTCCCATCTTTAAACCACAAAAAACCTTCCCTTGGCCCTCTCCCCCTCATACCTAGTTTATATTTGAGCTTTATTTCCTTCACATGGCAGCAGTCCTATAGTTATACATATTCTGTTCTTCAGGTTCAGCTTGTGAGGACTCTGTAGTAATTGACATTGGTGACCCATAATCGCTTCATGAATTTTCGAAGCTCTTTTCTTAATTAGCTCTCACTATTTCACTTTCCTGGGCTTCTGTTTACCATCTAACTGTTGTTTCACTCACTTTTCTTCCATTCATCTCTTAAATGTTGGTCTTTCTTAGCTCTGATTATTTCTTTACTTATTTATAACATAATTTCCATTGTTTTTTTGTAGGATCTTTGGGTTACCTCTTCTACTTACATGATTTCAGGTCCCATTTCATTGCTGATGACTCCCAAATTTGTATCTAGGCTAAATGTTTGTCCCGAACTTTAGAACATGCTTCCAGTCCCTTATCAGACATCTCAACATAGATCTCCAGCAGCTACTTCAAATGTTTATTTTCAAAATAGCTTGTCTTCTTTGAAACCAACTTTCCTCCCTTTTCAGTAAAAAAAAGCATTTCCTGGACTCCAAATCAGAAATCTGAAATTGTTCACAATTCTTTTTCCCTTCCCCTCTAATATCCATTTGCTCACTTGGAAATCCCATGAATTGAGCCTCCTGAACTGAGTATCTTTCTGCTCCATTCATTATCTCCATTTCCACTGCCTGTTCATTAGCCAGGTTAACCTCATCTGACTCTCAGCTGGGCTTTCTAACCTACTTTTTTCCTGTCTTCTAGTATATCTTTCCAGGCAAAGGTAATTATTCCTTATTCTATGCCTCTGCTTGCAGATAGAATTTAGTAGTCGCCGAATGTTGTTGTTGACTATAAAAGTGAAGTCTTATACCTCTCTGCTAAAGTATTTCCAAGGCCCCTGTTGGTCCATAGAGTGAAGTCCAAACTCTTCAGTCATGTGTAAGATCCCTCAGTGGTCATCCCCTAGCTCTTTAGTTAAGCTCCTCCCACCACCTGCTCACACATACCTAGCCCCCAGACCACCACAGTTCTCCAAGGACACACCACCTCTCAGGGCTCCCCACTTTGCACAAATTTTTTTTTTTTTTAGATTTTTTATTTATTTGAGAGAGAGAGACACAGCGAGAGAGGGAACACAAGCTTGGAGAGTGAGAGAGGGAGAAGCAGGCTTCCTGCCGAGCAGGGAGCCCAATGTGGGGCTCGAACCCAGGACCCTGGGACCATGACCTGAGCTGAAGGCAGACGCTTAACGACTGAGCCACCCAGGCACCCCCCCACTTTGCACACTTGGTAAAAATGTCTTTCTCACTCTCTCCTAAAGGCAGAGCTGACTTTAGGATCCTCCCTATGGAGTCTTTCCTAGTCCGACTCTGTTCTCATAATGCAGTGTGTATATAACAGTATTTACAAACATTTATTTTGGGTGCCTACTATGTTCAGACACTTTACCGTCCATGTAATAGTTCTGAAAGGTAGTAATTATTACTTCCCATTTTAAAGATGAGGGCCTAAGTCAAAGAGACATTTAATTTGCCAGAGTTGTACGTCTAGACAGGGGCTAACGTAGCCCCTGTACCTGGGCTCTCTTTGCTCTCTTGCTGCCTCTCTTTACTCATTTCATATAGGGCTTTCTTTATTATCTGAACAGGTATTTGTCTCCTCTGACCAGCAATATGTGTCTGTATCCCCAGAGCCCAGTTCAGTAAATAAATGAATAGAAAAGTTTGTGACTGACACAGAATTTCAAGTATAAAGTAGTCCCATTATATAGTCTTAGAAAACAGTGTCACAGCTTAGTGATTTTTCTTTTTTAAAGAACTGTTTGCTTATATTTTGGGTTAAAGTATGGGGGGTTTTGCCCATTTTGTTCAACAATTGTTTATTGTGCACAGTGCTCTGCAAAGCTCTGCACAGAAAACAGACATTGATGTGACCGTTTCCATCCTCAAGGAGCTTTGGTATGGTAGAAACTATGGCCCATACACATCTAACCTGCATACCCACCTGAGGAACAAAATGCCTCAGGTTTTACAGCAGCGGGAGGCCACGTGGGGCTGCATTTAAAGGGACCAGGAAAGATTTCCTGAAGGATGAGTAGAATTCTAATAAAGGAAAAACATTGAGGGAAGGTGTTAAAGTATACAGGGATGATATCTGGAATTTAAAATAAAGTAAAAAGTAAGTCTGGTCTGGTCCGTTTATAATTCAGAACAGTTATTGATACCCTCTACTCTAGAATTTATTTCCGACATGGAGTATCAACTTCTTTAAATCTTATTTTTTGCATAAAGTAAATGTATAGTTTAATGATTACTGAATGTGGATTTTGAATAAGGAAAAGAATGGGTCTGTGTCTCTGCATTTGTTGCGTGGGATTCTCTTATAACTGAGTATCATATGCAGTTCTCTGCAAGGTGGGTGTGGCCTATGAGAGAAGTCTTGTAGTATTGTCCTGAGGAGGTCATACTGTGCTATAGGAAGTACCAGTTGACCCTTGAACAACCCCCAGGCTAGGGGGTGTCAACCACCTGCACAGTCAAAAATCTGAGTGTAACTTTTGACTCCTCCAAAATCCTTACTGGTAACATAAATAATTAACACATTTTTTTTTATGTTACATGTGTTATATACTGTATTCCTTACAATAAATTGAAAAAAGAAAGTTATTAAGAAAACCAAAAGCAAGAGAAAATACATTTATGGTACTGGACTGTAAAAAATAAAATCTGTGTGAAAGTGGACCCTTTAGTTCAAACCCATGTGGTTCAAGGGTCAACTGTACTGCTCTGAAGTCTGCCCCAGTGTGACTTAGCTTCGGTTCCTTAATACATTGATCTTTGATTGCCTCAGATAACTTTTTGACAACACTTGCCACTTTTTCTAAATGCTGGGCAGCCCACCTTGGCCACTATATAAAAAAAAATTTTTTTCCTCTGAGGTACAGCTGGAATCGTACAGATAATATGTAAATGTGGACAGTGAATGCATTTTAAAGATTTATAAACTCAAATCACATAATAGTAATTTAATGCATGCACGGTATTTAGAAACTCAGGTAAGTGTAATGGATTTTTTTTTTTTTTTTTTTACTATTTGCTCTCATTCTGCCACTTAGGTGGCAAGAATATTTATTAGCACCCATCAAACTTAAAATCTAAGTGAGGTATGCATTTAGCTGCTTAATGTTTCAAAGAAATACATTTATGTTATTGCCTTCAAATGGTGTATAGAATAAGTGTCCACATGTTTGAGACATTATACTAGAAAAGAATTAACATGAGACTTAGCTTTTCCTGGAGTTTGTAATTTGAAAGAATGACATTGGTACCAGAAAACAGATAAAATTAGAAGAGAATTCAATGGAGAAAAAACACTGGGTAAATCATGTATTTATGTGTGCATGTGTAAAAATATTATAGCTTAATTTTTTTTAATGTGGTTGTTAGCTATTGTCAGAGCATTTTGGGGACTCCTGTTTTAGTAAACAGGTTTAAATGTTTAACATTTGAAATCAAGTTTCATATGCAATGATTAATATTATTGTTGGATTTCTTCTACTTTCATAGATTTGATTCAGGCTACCAATGAGACCAATGTTAATATTCCTCAGATGGCCGACACACTCTTTGAGAGGGCAACAAACAGTAGCTGGGTGGTTGTATTTAAAGCTTTAGTCACAACACATCATCTCATGGTGCATGGAAATGAGGTAAATGAAGTGAACTTAACTTTTCTTTCTTTGGTGGGGGAAGGAGGCATTTATGGAGGGCTCTTCTACTTTTCATCAATTAGGAGAAAAAGAAGAGGAAATATATGGCTCAAAATCACCAAGAGTACAATTTTAATCTTCTACTTAGCTATTTAAAAAAAAATGTTAAGTTAGACATTCTCTTGGGGACATTGAAATATTAAATATTACTGGGACCTAAAATGTATGTACCATATAAATGTATTAGTGGGCAAAAATGTTAGGAGAAAGGAACAATAAAATTATTTTTCCCATTATGAACAGTCTTTTGCACCTTTAAGTGAAAATTGCTTTTACAAAAATACTTAACTTTGGAAAACATTAATAAAATAAAAATTACCCATTTTATATGGGATGCCTACTGACTTGGATTAAATTGCAGTGTTTCTGTTATATGAAAAATGAAAGATCATAAAATTTAATTCTAATTCAGTGAGTACTTTTCAGTCTTTTTCCTCCTCAGAAAAAGTCAGCAGACTAAGAAACTTTATAACTGAGTAAAAAAAAAAAATAATGAGAATTTGCAATATCCTTTAGTATCAGAAATTGTTTAAAGGTATGATTTGGGAATATTGGTTATGATTCTAGTTTTTGTTTTTCAGAGATTTATCCAGTACTTGGCCTCTAGAAATACACTGTTCAATCTCAGCAATTTTTTGGACAAAAGTGGATCCCATGGTGAGAATATTTATGTTTTCTAATGTTTTGGATAATGCTTTTGATGCAGGGTTTTGTTTTTTTGTTTTGAAGTGAGGTTCATAATCTATAATTAGTATAGTTGGTAGTTCTGTTGAGTATTTAAGAAAAAATGTAAAAGTAATTATTTAGTTACTTTGCAGAGCTTTAAAATATTTATTTGTTAGAGAATTCAGCATATAAATTACATACTAATTTTACTTTTTGTCCTTTTCAGTATTTACCTTAACAGGCAGTATTCTAGACCCACAGTTGTTTGTTTATGAAAGTACAAAAGGCAATGAAATGAAAAATACTTTCCTAATTTAAAGAAAAAGATTCCAGCCTTAAACATTCTTTGTAAATTAGTAGAATTTAAACTGTAGTCATATGTTCATTCACCATACTTATTGGTTGCCTATTATGTATAAGGCAAGCACACCAAGCAAGTGGATAGTTCTCAGATAGCTGCATGTATTAAGCCTGAAACAGCCTGTTATTTGAAACGGTGAACAAAAATGCAAGGAAAAATCAGAAAGGACATTCTGTACAAGGATGGTGGCATAACGAAATTGAAATGTCTTAGAATGTCTCATGCCTACAGTATTTTTGCTTGCAGTAGGATTTTAAATGAGGCTTTTCTGGTGCCTTTATTGACCTCATTCTAGCATTATTTACATTTGGAGAGTTTTTAAAAAAATGGTACTAAGCAAAGCACAAAGGAAGGTATTTCATTAATTAGTTTTACTTCTTCTGCCCCTCCCCCCAGGTTATGATATGTCTACCTTCATAAGGCGCTATAGTAGATATTTGAATGAAAAGGCTTTCTCTTACAGACAGATGGCATTTGATTTTGCCAGAGTGAAGAAAGGGTATGTTTTTTTCTTTCTCATATTTATTTGAGCAGAGTAAGTCTTTGAGGCATACTTGACTTACCTTAACTAAGCTTAAATGCCAAATAATTTTGGTCATGAAGCCCCAGTTTACAATCATCTGAAAAGAGACTCGAAAGTATTATAGAAGTTAGCCTGGAAGTTGTAATATACATTACTTTATTTATATTTTCATGCAAAAAAAATCGGATTCGCTGCTCAGAATTGACATAGTATAACATTTTATTTGTTAATTTCAATTCAGAATTCTTAAGCACGTATATTCCTTTAAATAATTTTAAATGGAGAGAATTTAAAGTACATTCAGAGTTCAAAGAATAGTGGCTCTAGTTTACAATAGTTATTTCAGTGTGTTTTGATTGAAGTAAAACTGAACTGTGTATATGGTGGAGATCTGTTCTTGGGAGGTGATAATGTCCTACCTAGTATCACACACACACACACACACGCACACCATAATTGAATTGATTATTAATACTAACCATTGATTAAGAAAACCTCACTGAAACACATTTTAATTCATAATTATCATTTACTTCCCTCTAAATAGATGTGGAATTTAATCAGAAGTGTTCATTCATAAATTTGTGCAAATCTTGTATCTGTTCTTGACTTGAAATAATGGCAAGGTATTGTAGAAGGTTTAATATTTTAGTCTCAAGAATTCACACAAAAAGACAACCCTCAGTTTTTCTAATAGTGACCCAGCCTTAGCTTTCAACTATGTTTTAATCGTGGTGCTGAACAATTTAAACTTGTCTGTTCAAAATAAATTAATTTCTTGTGGGTGAACATTCTATAAAATTAAGGTTTTTACTTCATCCCCTTCTCATTATAGATGATTCTAGTTTACATGTCTTCCTCCAACTTCTTACATGGCCCTGGGCAGCCATAGTTGATGTGTCTAGCTGCATTGCAGCCTTTCTGTAGTAGGTCCATAGCCTTCTTAGAAACTTCTGCACCCTTTATGTGCACATAAGGATACTTTGGGATGCTTTCCCTACCCTTGAAGTGGGAGAGATCCTGCAAGTTGCCATTTTTAGCCCATTGACATAAGCTGGGTATTTTCCTCAACTACTTCAATACTGCCACACCTGGGCCGTCACTGGATGCAGGGGCTCCATCAGAGTCCTCTGGGCGGGCATGGGGTTCAGTGCCCTGTCTGATGTACCCTCTGGCATGAACCTCCAGTTGTGTCCTCAGCAGCTAGTTAAACTCTATCTCCTTTTGGCCAAACTGTGCATATCAGCTTGCAGTTTTCTTCCCTTGATAGTTAATAGTATATACTCTGCTCTCCCAGTCCTACAGGTTTTGAAGACTTCTAAAACATGTATTCTCTCTCTTTCTTAAAAACAAACTGGCATTCACAAAACCTACACCTCTGTTATAGATTTGGAAAAGTCCATCTAGTAATTCAGCCAATCTCTTTTATACAGACACACTGCTTTCTTCTTGAGGGCAGTGCAGAGAGAAAGAAAGCACTGCCCATGTGCTTGAAGAACAAGAATGGGGGAGAGGAAGTGGTGTAGAGAGGGGAATCAACTACAGCCTTTTAATATCTCAAAGTCATCCCACAGGATTAATAAGGACATGGAGGGGGTGCAGTTTGGAAGAATGCACGTGGTCTTGAATTTTCCACATACAAGGAAGTTGCATCTTTTTCTTTTTTAAAAACAATTATAGGGCCGACGGTGTAATGAGGACAATGGCTCCTGAAAAGCTACTGAAGAGTATGCCAATTCTGCAGGGACAGATTGATGCACTGCTTGAATTTGATGTATGTATCTCCCTAGAAAATGTGCCTTACACAATTAGTACTGTCTTCTGTTTGAAGGTGGGCTACAGGTAAAGCTGGAAATCTACTCAGGAACAGATTGAGATCTCCTTCATTTTGATGAGCTAGACAAACACTTCATGTAGGCTCTTAGCATGGTAGAGTTGACTGTGGTTATCCAGATTGAGCAGTTTCCCAGGTGTTTACTTAAGTCATGGAAAAATATGAATAGTGCATTCTTGGAACCCTGTGTTCAGAGCAGAGTGATAATCTCCTGTGGTGTTTGACAGGGTGAAGGAGCTGCAAGATGTACCTTTAGCCTCAGTAACTAGTTAAATACCTTAGCCTGCTTTTAGAAGCCATTTTATATAGACTGCTTAAATGACACCACCAAAGAGAATTGTTTTTGTCTGGTCATGGTCCTTCCTCCTGGCAATACCAACATGACATCTCTCTTAAAACCATACCCGTATCTTGAGTGTGGTGGTAAATACACTGGCCTACACATGTGGTAAGATTATATAGAAAAGCTCCCCCGCACAAGGAGTGTAAGTGGAACTTGGGAAATCTGAATAAAACCTGTGAATTGCAGCAATCTCAATATCCTGGTTGTGATATTGTCCAGTAGTTTTGTAAGATGTTACCATTGGGAGAAACTGGGTAAATGGTACATAGAATCTCTATATTTTTTACAGCTGCATGTGGATTTATGGTTATTTCAAAATGAGAAGTTCAGGTAAACATATCTGATTCATGAAAATAAAATATTCTGACATGTAAGAAGATTTGTAGAATGTGAATTAATTTCTTAGTAATCACTTGAGACATTTTCATGTGCTTTGAGAAAAATTGCCATTTGATAACATGTAATTAACATATAAAATTTTTATCTTTTTCTAGGTGCATCCAAATGAGCTAACAAATGGTGTCATAAATGCTGCATTTATGCTTCTTTTCAAAGACCTTATCAAACTTTTTGCTTGCTACAATGATGGCGTTATTAACTTACTTGGTAGGTAGAACTGCTGAATGGTATCTTTGAATAAAGACTGCATCAGAATGCAAAGATTTGGATACCATAGCCTTATTAGATAAAAATCTAAAAAAAAATGATTCATTCAGGTCACATTTCTCTATTCTTATGTCAGTCAAGGTTAAGTGCAAGAAACAGAAAGCACTCTAGATGTTTTAAGCAGGAAGGGATTTCCATACAGGGATTTTGGTGCTTACAAAATACTGGAATGACTGAAGGATCTAGGCTTTGCCTCTTAGAATAAGTCCCAGTAAGTCCTGCTCCACTGTGCTAACAGCTACCTCTGATGCCACTCCTAGAGATGTATAGGGAATAAGAAGCCACTGCCACCTCATTAAGTATAATAGAAGAGCCACTCCAGCTCCTACGTTTCTGGACCCACATACTCTAGCTGTGGTGAACAATGGACCATACACTGACCAGTGGTTCAGAGCATATACTAGAATCTCTAACTCTTAAGTATCTTCTTAGAGTGGGTTTAAAATAGTGTCTTCTGTAGACCATTCCATCATTATGTAAGGTCCACTATTTCGGGACTGTAGGGATTCATCCCAAGACTGACAAATCCTGTGGGGTGCGTCATTTGTCTCACTTCTTGTGCAGCAAAATAGTATTGTGTAAGATATCATGAAGGGGAGTAATTCCCCAGATGGTGGTACTGGCAAAGCAATATGAACAAAGGTGATAATTCTGTATCCAAGATAAACTAACTTCTGGAATAGATCGCTGCTCTTTTCCCTGGTAAAAGGAATTAATCCTTAACTTGTCACTTGGTGGATGACTCCATACTCCCTGGATTATGATGCCATGGGAGAAGCTCAGAGTTGATCTTGGGTATTGACAGACTGAGGACTTAGCAGTGACACAGATATATCAGACTATGTTCTTGGACCTATTCATAACTTCCATTCTGATATAATAGTATGTTCATCAGCATATGGAGTCCTTTTATCCCTTGATCATTGCTCTTTAGTCTACATTTGTATGGAATGAAAATAGTCTCATGCTCTTTATCCATTCTGAGAGGTCCATCCACCACCTCTTCTCCAGACGTTCTTGTTACCAATCTTCCAATTTTATTTTTTCCAAGTCCCTGGTCATCAAGGCCAGCAGTTAGTTACTGCTCATATTTTGATAGAGTTCCATTTGTCTCACCATCTTTTTTTTTAAGATTTTATTCATTTATTTATTTGAGAGAGAGAGAGCATGCATGGGGGAGGAGCAGAGGGAGAGGAAGAGAGAGAATCTCAAGCAGATTCTGTGCTGAGCCCAGAGTCTGATGCGGGACTTGATCCCACAACCCTGAGATCATGACTTGAGCTGAAATCAACAGTCGGATGCTTAACCGACTGAGCCACCCAGCTGCCCCAACTAACCATCTTTCCTTTGACATAAAGTGGAAATCGGATAGATATACTGCTTGAAGTTTGGCCTAGAGTAAAAGATTTCTTTCTCCTCTCAGAGTCACCCCTTTGTGGGGATATAATGACTTAGCAAACCACTTTTATAACTAGTGCTGGCAACGGGTACCTGGGTGGCTCAGTTGGTTAAGCGACTGCCTTCAGCTCAGGTCATGATCCCAGGGTCCTGGGAACAAGTCCTGTGTTGGGCTCCCTGCTCTGCAGGGAATCTGCTTCTCCCTCTGCTCCCCCACTTGTTCTCTCTCATTCTCTCACAAATAAATAAATAAAATCTTTTAAAAAATAAAAAATAATAATAATAACTAGTGCCGGCATGAGAAACCATCTCTAAACCAACCTTGAATTCTTTTTCTCCTCAGACCACTGGTCATGGGGAGCTCCCCAGAGGCCATAGGTATGATTGGAGGGAGAAATGCAGTACAGAGGAGTAGGTGCAGTGGGACTATGAGCCATCTGTTTGTTCAACCCACATGGGGGTTCAGGATTGGCTTGAGGCTGACTGCTTCTATACCACTTTCATTTGATGATAGAGTGTTCTTGCACTTGTCCAACTCATGGGTATGTATATTAGATAACACTTGAGGTCTTATGATCACTTGATATTCTGTGGTTAGAATCTCAGTCTCTATAAGCAAGCCAAGAACAGTTTTTCCAAAGGAGATTAGTTACTGTCTGAAGACATGGCTCTGCTCCAAAACACTAGAGGCTTCCACTGTGTTTTCCTAGTGGAGTGTGCCAGATGCATTCTGCAGCATTTGGATCTACTGCAGGCACTTTGAATACTTTTAGGTCTGTGGGAACAAAGGCCCATGTGGTTCTGGTTTGGAGCAGTTGCAGAGCCTTCTCCTGATCTGGATCCTACTTCTTTCTGACACCACACCTGATACTCTTTTTAGAGCAGAACTCATACATGTTGTATATGTTACCTCTAAAACTAAAAAAGCTCAGCAAACTTTGGCCTCCAGTTTAGTTATAGGGGTTACAAGGTGAAGCAATTTGTCTTTCACATGGAGGGGACCTGTGGACCCGAAGACTTTGTTGATGTAGCAGGTCTCTGAGCTTTCATAAATTCTCTGTCCACCCTGTGACATACATGTGACTTATGAAGGCACATAGCATAATGGAAATTCTTGCCCACTGGGTACAATCAGCTTGATGTCATTAACGTGATAACACATGGGATTGTGACAGCCAGGGCGGTTGATATCCTTGAAATAAGACAGCTAGTATATACTGTCATCCCTGCCAGATGAAAGGCAACTACTTCTGTTGGGCTCTGTTTATTGAGATAGGGATAAAAGAGTTCACTAGTTTGATAGCTGCCTATCAGGTGTCAAGAACGATGCTGATTTTATGCCGGTAAGAAGGACATGTCTGGAAATCTGCGAGTCAGGGTCATCACCTGATTAGGTTCACAGTAACCTCCTGTAAATCTCTACCTACAACCCATTTCACAAACCAGATACTCAGGTTAACTGAGGAAATGATGGAATTGCTACCCCTGTATCTTTCAAGACGTCAGGAAGCCAGTGTAGGGACTCTGCTAGTTTCAAAGTATTTCTGTTCCAACTATATATTTGGGTAACTGGGGAAACAGCCACAGAAAAGTTACATACATCCACTGGATCTAATTTTCTTTTATCACCTAATTCCCAAAAAGCTTCCACTCAAGTTGGTAGAACATGGAGTGACATTTTGGGTCCCCAGGAAGTAACATCAGTTTAGAGTTAGTGTTTCTGAAAAGTTTGGGTATGTCTCCTTTCCCTGGGCCTACTCACCCTGATAAAGGTCTCCTCTGCAAAAGAGGAAAAAGTGCTCTTGACTGTGTTTCAAGGACATTTCTCAAGAATATTTGGAGAGCTTATTAAAATTCAGATTGCTAAACCTCAACCCAGAGTTCCTAATTCAGTAGGTCTGGGTTTGAGCCTGAGAATTTGCATTCCTAATAAGGTCCTGAGTGGTGCTGTTGCTACTGGTCTAGGATTTCACTTTGGGAATCACTGTGTTAGAGCTACTTCCAGATGGTCAGGCTAGCATTTTTGAATCGATGATTTTGGCATATTCACCCAAATTGACAAATTATCAATTATATCACAAAATCTAATGTAATATACTTTCCTTCCTGTTCAGAACCTTTACAATCTATACCAACTGTCTACATTTTTATCAATGATGGTTGCCAGATTCAGAGGGAAAAATGTAAGATGCCCAGTTAAATATTAATAAGTCCTATGCAATATTTGGGACATATCTATGCTAAAAAGTTATCTATTTACAATTCAAATTTAACTCAGTATCTTGTATTTTATCTGGCAACCCTGCTGCCAACAGAAATTTGCAAGAACTTGTACTTCTTTTAGCATGTATATTTTTTCCTCTTGGGTCAGACTGTACTTGTCTCCCTAGAGCATGCAGAGATTGCTGCCTTCTCAATCTCATTCTAGGTATTGAGGCAGTTGGCAAGGGGACAGGGGCAAGAAGTAGATGGATTGGACATGAGAAAATTTTTCATTCCCTCATGAAAGGTGGCTTGATTACAGGATCACTAAGCAAGGCAGGACCAGCCTCTTCAGACTGAGGAGGAAAAGCTTTTACTAGCAAGAGTAGCTCACTTTGGTTTGAATCTACCCAAGCAGTCTCCTTTCTAGTTTTTCTTCTCAATAAACATCCTAACTCTCACAAAGGAGACCGTGGTGAGGCTGGGAATTTAACTTAACCACATACGTTGTAATTCAGAAACTTACAAGATTAGACTCTTTCAGCGATGACAGCCCTGTGTCTGCAAGAGATAAGATTATTCGAGGGCAGTTTTGGAGTACCACTGCCTGACTGGTGCCTTGAGCCAATAATTTAAAATCCTGTGTTGTCATTTCCTTTGGAGTCAGGAGCAGCTATCCACTGTACATTCTACTTGCCTTATTCCCATCATAGTGGTCTCTCTCAGCAGCTGCTTGCTCTGGTAAGCTTCATTTTAGCTGCTCATTTCAGAAAACCATAGGTGATGATTTACGTAAGCATTTTGCTCCTATATAGCAGACTGTGAGAATCCAATTTTCTGATAGTTGCGGGTAGTCATCACTACCTTCGGATCCAGCCAGTTACATATCTAATCCCAGATTCCCATCCTTTTGACATTTTTGAGGGTCTGATTTCTACAACCACTTCAAATACCCAGTACTGTGTTTATTCAAGAAACAGAAACCACTCTCCACACTCTAACTAGAAAGGGATCTAAAGTAGGGAGTTGGGTGCTTAAGTAATTATCAGAAGCCTGCAGGAAGTGGTTCCTGAATGACTTACAGAATAATAAATTCTTAACACGCCGGGGAAGCTTCTACTTCTGAGGCCACCACTTTACAGTACACTAAAAGTAAGAAGCTGCTGCCACCACCTCAGCTGCCTTGCGGCCCTAGGAAGCTAGAAACCAGACACCTGAAGCCATAATCCAGGAAGTAGGGAGTCACATCAAATAAGTGTGACTATAACCACTACCCCTCAAAACTGGGGAAGCTGGAGGGTGGACAGTAGAATGCTGCCAAAGGATAATCTTACACTTCTAAGTTTAAGATTCTTTTCTTGTCACAGAAATAGCTAGAGATGTACAGGAAGATGGCTTCCGCCTCAGTTTTACTTTCCAGATCTCTCACAGGTCCATCTGATTTACAGAACTGAATTTGCATCTGACATCCTGGCTTCTCATAAGTTTAGAAAGAGAGAGAATGGGGCTTGGGTAAGGCAATCAAACACAGTGCTCTTAGAGAGCCTTATTGGGGAAAGATACCTGTTCTTAATATGTAATCCAACACTGTATTACCTTTATTTCCGATGGGACTGTATCAGTAAACCAAATAACAGATCTTCCCATTCCCCTTTGTGGGCATATCTTACTCTTCCTTACCACTCATAATGTGTTTTTGTTAAGGTTCATTTCTAGCCAGTTATTTGTCTGCTTTTTGTGTGTATTTTTCACTGGAAACCCTATGGTTTCCTATGGAGATGTCCTTATGATGAGTCCCAGGTCTATTATTTCGGTCTATGACCTTTCTTTTGAGCTTCAGTTTTGCAAGTCTTATTTGTAGACACTTAAATTTAGATATTTAAAATTCAGCTATCTCCAAAACCGAACTCTTGAATTTGCCCTTCCTAATCTCATTTCTGTTGCTATATAATTAGTCTTTTAAACCTGAAGCCTCAGTTATCTTTGAGTTGCTCCTCTTACCCAACTCCATTGCCGTCAGAAATGAAGTTCTGCTGATTCCTTCTCACATCCTCTCACTAGTGTACCCTTGTTTGTTTCCTGCTTCTGCTTCAAGAACATTGAACTTACTACCTTTAAAATTCATTTAGCAGTTAAACACGTTAAGCCATGTGTTTCTCCTCTGTGTCTTGAACATCTATTTAAATGCTGCTCTGTTTTACTTTCTCTTTATGTTGACTTCAGAGATAAGATTGTAGTAAGAATGCATTTTCTCTGTATTTTAAAATAATAACCATGCAATGTATATTTTTATTTCATCTAATTTGAAAAGGATAGTCTATTGGCTAACATTAGGAGCAGAAAAGGAGAGTTGTATCTTCATATTAAAGACCTGACTTCAAAAGTGGTAGAGGCGTGCGTTCTTGCCTTATCGCATTCTGGTGTTGAGTGGCCTTCATTCAGCGTTGCTGTCAAATTGCTCTTGTGAAAGTAACACTCTAGAAGATAGGTATGCTTACTATCCTAAGTGTTTTGAGACAGGTGTGTTTTTTGTTTGTTTACTAAATAGTGTTAGGAATTAACTATTATAAATACATTATGGGTTAGTTTTAATCAAGGACTTAATGAGCAATTCTCTGCATCTAATGTTGGAATCAATGTTGGTGCTACAAATCTTTGCAAACATTTTATCACTATAATGAAACTGATGTGCGAGTAAGAAGATGCTTTCCTTCTGACTAATGGGCATTAGTAATAGTCCACGTACAAAGCCTCGATTTATTTCACAGGAATGAGATTTCTTTTCATCTAGTTCTTTTCCTTAGGACAGTTCTGTGAAAATTAATACCAATATGACAAGGGAATTTATCAACACGTTAAAAAGACTCACGTTACAAAGGCCAAATTTAAAATTTCGTTTCAAATACTGAAAATCAATATATCTTATCTTTTGTATGAAATACAGAGGTTCATTTCTGGATGACCCATCCCCTCTGTTAAAAATATGAATTGCTCCTGGCCCTACCTTAGTCTCTAAGAGGACAACGGCACCTCACATCTCCCCCTGTAACAGTACATGTTGCTTTTCTGTGCCTTTACCACTGTTACAGAAACAGGAAATTATAACCTAAAGCCATAAAATTTTCATTACTTTTGTTCCTGAATCCTAAATTACCATGAAAGATATGAACAATTTAAAAAGCATCCAGAGGAGACAGAGAAAAATTGCTTAAGATTCTGATGCATTGGTTCTAAAAGGAAATTGAGAGTATTCAGTTGATTTCTCGTTTTGTGTTACTGCTGAAGATCTGATGCAAAGAAATAAACTTAGATTATAGTAAAGAAAAGTAATTTAGACATTTGGAAGAAATTATTTATGTGACGATTGTTTAAAAAGAAAGAAAGAATTATATTTTACCAGAATAAGTCCTTTTTTTCAAAAGTTTGAAAAGGATTTGTTCCCTTATAGCACCAAGATTCTATCTGTAGCATTAGAAAACAGGATAGAGACGATAAAGATTAGATTTGGCCATTTTTTTTTTTTAAAGATTTTATTTATTTATTTGACAGAGAGAGACACAGCGAGAGAGGGAACACAAGCGGGGGGAGTGGGAGAGGGAGAAGCAGGCTCCCCGCTGAGCAGGGAGCCCGATGTAGGGCTCGATCCCAGGATCCTGAGATCATGACCCGAGCCGAAGGCAGACGCTTAACAACTGAGCCACCCAGGCGCCCCTAGATTTGGCCATTTTTTAAAATTGAAGTGTAGTTGTCATACAATGTTATATTAGTTTCAGATGTATCAACATATTGATTTGACAATTCTGTACATTATCACTCAGTACTCACCATAAGTGTACTCACCATCTGTCACCATACAATGTTATTACAGTATTATTGACTGTGTTCCCTATGCTAGCTATACTTTTCATCTCTGTGACTTATTTATAACTGGAAGGTCATACTTCTTATTTCCCTTCATCTATTTCACCAATCCCCCCACCCCTTCCCTCTGTCCACCACCAGTTTGTTCTCTGTATTTAAGAGTCTGTTTATTTTTTGTTTGTTTTACTTTTTAAATTCTATGTCTAGGTGAAATCATATGGCATTTGTCTTTCTCTGACTTGCTTCACTTAGCATAATACCTTCTAGGTCAGATTTGGCCATTTCTTAAAAGATGCACTTCCCTCTCAAATCTTAAGTGGAAAACAGTATGTGTTTGTTTTCTTGATTTTTTTGCTTCCCTTGAATGCCCTACAGGGGAGGTCTGTGTTAAATGTAAAATTACCCAGACTGTCAACAGAAGGTAATGAGTAGCTACCCTCAATAATTAGTTCTTTGTGTAATTATATATTATTAAACCTTTCTTGAGAAAATTAAAAATACTTTTAAGGTAGTAAAATTACATGCTGAATGAAATTAAGAACTTTAAAGTATGAGAGAATATAAAAATAGCATGTGTTTCACCATGTGAAAATATAAAATAATGAAGAATACTAAATCATCTTCAGTTATGATCCAGAGTTGCCTGGAAGCCATTGTAGACCCTGGTCTTCTCTGTCTCCATCATCAATGTCAATAATTATTGACTGAATGAACTGATAAATGACTGGCTGGCAAAAATACTGATAAAGTGCTGGTTTTCTTCCAAACACATACGGAGAAAATACACTTGTAATGTAATTATAACGGAGCTAGAGCACCTAGTGATTGTGAATTCCAGTCTTGGGAGTGCAGCAGAGAGCAGCAAAGGGATCCTCTGTTTTTCTGTTTGGGAAGCTTGAAGGCTGAGAAAGGATACAATTATGGACTAGAATGCCATGATGAGTTTGGTAAACCAAATATTTTTCACAAAACTCCACTACTTTATAACTAAGAGACACATTATAATGTTTGAAAGAAATCATTTATGGCCGACAAAAGGATCAATTTATAGAGTGTAGACAAGGTGCTTTAGAACCTCATATAGGTTTTAGTGCCTAGTGTTTTGATCCAAACATTCAAGTTTTAATTAATAGTATTAACATAAGCTTGGAAGAAAATTGAATATAATAATCTTTTCAAAATGCTTATCTGTCTCTTCCAGAAAAGTTTTTTGAAATGAAGAAAGGACAATGTAAAGATGCCCTAGAAATTTACAAACGATTTCTAACTAGAATGACGCGAGTATCTGAATTTCTCAAAGTTGCAGAGGTAAGTAATAATAAGCTGTGTTGGGAATATAATTTAAGAATATTAACTTATGTATCTGGAGTCAATAATAAGGCTTATAATCTGGCAAGACATTCTGTCCCAGAGCCCCAGTGTATTAGGGTTGGAAGTGATCTCCTCCCAACTTCTCATTCAGAACTGTACTCTACACTCCTGCATCCCAATTAGATGATCATTCTGTGTTCAAAAACAAGTTTCTGGGTACTGAGCCGATTCACAGCTTTGCAAGGTGGTTCATCCTTCCTCTCCTCTTAATAGCTATTTTTGATTGTAAGGAAGGGCTTCCTTTTTATTGAACCCTGAAAAAAAAAAAGCCCTTAGGAAAATCCATTTATTGTTCTTAGTATGTGGAAATCATAAATACGACCTCCTTATTTTGTTAATGATTTAAATACAATGAAAAAATTAAAGTATCATTAATTTTATGAAGTTATAAATTGTTTCTTAAGGATGGCTGTTTGTACTTAATCACAATAACTGTGTTCCTGAGGTAATCCCGTAAGTTGGTGTTTTCTCTTACGAAATCCAGTTATTGATTCATACTGGTATTGGAAGTTATGACATTGTCATTACAGTCCTTTGGCAGGTTGGCCAGTTGATTCTTATCTTACATTGTCAGTGAATGAATTGTTGGGCTGACTGGAGTGCCACGTGCGAGAAGCATTCTGAAGCCCAACAGCAAAGCATACAAGGCCTTGGGCATGGGATGTTCGTGCCATGTTTTTGCTGTTTTTGCCATTTTGAGAATATAGCACAAGAACAACCATTTTATACACACAATTCCAAAAGCACTCTAGTCCGAACATTATCTTTCAAATTTCATTTATTCGCAGGAATAATAATTATCACATTCAAATTAGGAGACTGATACTGCAAAATGCTGTCTCTTGACCTTTGGTCCATATAGTTTGTAATCAGAACAGAAGTCTTTTTTTATATATAATATGGGAAACAAAAGGCAAAGAATAGTTTATAGGAATTACATATACTTTAAAGCATGTTCATGTGTATTTTTCTTGGGCTTATTGATACTGATTTGTTTTTATGAAAGGATAGAATTGCTTGAAACTTTTGCTTTGGCTGCTACACGGTTTTACTTTTTGTATTTGATAGGATTTTCCTGTGGTTTAACCCTAGTTATCAATATAATCTAGTAAAATGTGCCTGACTTTTTTCTGTGGAAAGATCAATTATGCCTAAGCATCCAGAGCTGAAGATCCTTTCATTGTTCCATTAATTCCTCATGCATGTGCTGCCCAGTTCCCCCATCTCTTATTGCGTATGTTAGATAGGTAAGGAGCTGGACAGGTGACAGTCTGGGGTATACATTTCTCGAATCAGCACTGTAAGGCTGGATCCGAGGTCTTCATGAGAAAGGGGGTACTTATTTATTAACTCATTCCATTTTTAGATGTAAAATTTTACTTCACGTCTCTTGATCACCTCATGTTAGCACGGACCCATTTCAGGCTGTTGAGAAGGAAATACACAGAAATTAGATGTTATTTTGAGAGTCTAAATAACTGAATACAAATATTCTACTTTTATTTGAATACTATGACTAAGACTTTTTTATAGAAAGATACTAATTTACAAAATTATTTTTTAATGGAACAGATACTAACTCACAGTGGGCTAACGATAACTGTTTGTGTTTTCTTTAAGTAAATTACATTGTTCATAATTTAGACATTAATTGTTTGAATACCAGTGTTGAGTGGTTTGTATTATTGGTAAATACAGAAATTTCTTAACAAATGTACAATGCTTCTCTCTGTACCAAACAGCTCCTGTGTGGTGTACATATGTATGGACTCATATCCAGTAGCTACCCATTTTCCTGAAGAATGTGTAGAAGACTTCTAGAATGCCATTTTAAAAATACAACTATATATATTGGCTGTTTGGTAAATGTTAATAAATTGTCTGCAATATTAAAAGAAACATAGGGTAGTTGAACAACTGCTATGGAAATGTTCAAATATCCCAGAGGAATTGCTTGAAGTGTAGAAAACTTAGCATGTTTTGAATTCTTACAATGAAGTCTCCCAAAGCAGGCAATTGAAACTTTGTAAAATGGTTATTTTTTAGGTAATAGGCATTTCTGCTAAACATACTTCCCTTTTTATAGAACTAAGTTATTCTTAGTTTGCTATTCTAAGATAAATACCAAGTCGTAGGAGTTACGTCTCCCAGAATATTTGCAGATAGAAAGTGATGAGATTTCTGTAATATAGTCACACCTTAGCTCAAGCCTCCAATTATATTATGGTTCAGAAGTTCAGGTTAGTGAAAACAGCAGTGTCAAGGAAGAATTCCTAAATTATGTCTTTCTGTTCAAGAAATTCTTTTAACTCTCTATTTAAGAGAAACACATCATCTTTTATCAAGATGATCCTAATATTAAAGATCCATAATACTTTAATTTCAAAAATACTGACTTCATTCATATTAATATTTTTAATGGGTCACCTAAAGAGATATTAAAATATGGAAATGAATGGAATGAAATTACCTTAGTTTGTAATTTCCATAATTTATAATAGTTTAGTGAATTTAGGGAAGCAACGATAGCTTCCCTAAAGCCAGAGCGGAGTCATTAGCAGGTAATGCCTGTACCTCTGGGAGGAATCTGCAGCCTAATTTGCTCTAGGAGGATGAGGGTCAGTGCTCTACATCAGTGGTTCTCCACACTTGGCGATTTTGTTCCCCTCTCCTCCCCAGTGTCTGGAGACATTTTTGGTTGTCACAACTGGAGGAAGGGAAAGTCTACTGGCATCCAGTGGGTAGAGAAGGATGTTGCTAATATCCTACAGTGCACAAGGCAGACCCTACCACAGAATTATCATCCTAAAACGTGAATGGTGCCAAGGCTGAGAAACCCTGCTGTAGACATAGAGAAAGCCAAAGAAAGAACTTAGCTAAGAGCATTTGTCAAACAAGTGGATTTTCTGATCTCTAGTTTGCCTTGTCTTTGTAGGGGCCCAACACTTATGCTTCAGGTATTTGCTTCTGCAGTTCCATCAAAATAAGTAAAGCAGTTCATTTCTCAAAGAGACTTGATTTAACCCACTTTGTTTCTTTGAGCCTTAATTTCATCATTTACATAAAATGAGAGAATTGAAGTTACGGATTTGTATTTTTCCCCAGGTTTTTATTTTGAATAATTTTTAAACCCACAAAAGAGTTGACAGAGCAGTATAGGGAACACATATATACTCTCCTCTTTGATTCACCTTCATTTATATATTCCCATATTTGTGCTCTTTCTTGCTCGCTATTTCTCCTTTCTGCTCCTCCTCCTTCCCCGACCTCCCTTCCCCAAGCTACCAACACTAGAAATTCAATGTGCTTTTACCTAGTAATTCCATTTCTACAAATGTGTCCTACAGATGTGTCCACACACGTGCAAAATGCTCTGTGCAGCATTGCTTGCAATGGCAGGAGATTGGAAGCAACTTCGGTGTTCGTTAATACATGACTTGTTAAATAAATAAATCACAGGAAAAGAAGCTGTTTAAAAAATAAGGAAACTCTGTGTGTTAATATGGATATAGGTCTGAGATATATTGTTAAATGAAAAATACAAGCTCAGTGTATATAATACATTGTTGTATAATAATGTGGGAAATAAATATGTATTTATATATTTCCAGTTTCCTTGGATATACATAAAAAAACTCTGGAAGGATATGTAAGAAACAAACAAAATGGTTCTCTCTGTGGGAAGAGAGGTGGATACTACACCCTGAACAAGTTATTGAAACTAAATAAACATTCCCTGTCCCGAGGATTTACAACAATTTAAATTTAGGCTAAGCTTTTTTTTTTTTTTTTATACTTTTTAGCTGCCATTAGCCATGGAGGAAACCTTAAATTTTATACTTCAATTTCTTAAGTCTTTTTTTGGGTTCTAGTAAAATTCTGTACATTTGTTATATTAAACTACATTAACAAAATTATTGTTCTATTATATTGAGTGGAAAACTACACAAAGCTTATTTTCAAAGTGAGATTGACAATTTTTTTATACCAAGATTGAGCTGTGGTTTTAACTAATTCTGTGGGTGATCTTCTGTTAAATGCAAAGAAATTAGTAAAAAAAAAAACAAAAACCCATTAAGTAACTTATTTTTTTTTAATCCGCAGCAAGTTGGCATTGATAAAGGTGACATTCCTGACCTCACACAGGTAAGTGATTCTCTGAGTGACAAGTGTAGTATGCATGAAATATTACCCCATAGTCTGCCGTAAAAGATCTTACCTAGGGCATAGTCTTATAAGCATTTAATGCATTTTTAATTTAGGCCAATCAGTTTTCTTGGAGTTTATTCTAGCTTGCATATTTTTTCTAGCTGGAGTTACTATGAAGATTTACCTGCCCTCATAACATAGTTTCTTCTTTAAAGGCAATTGAATTTACTGTTTTGAGACCATCTTTTCATTCTTGAACTTGATTCAAAATGAAGCCTTAATTAATGTTTAAATAGTGCTTTGTCTATGAACAGTAACTATTGGTAGGCATGTAGTTGGAAAACTTGAAATGTTCTTTCTGCTTGTTCTCCTAGTTTTCAACATTTCCCAAGTACGAAGGAGGGACATGAAAGAGGAGCACTCTGATATCATAGTTCCACTGCACTGATTCTTGCCTCCCCTATGACGTAAAGGAATTTCTACTATAAAAGAGCCTTTTTTTAATAAGTCGTAGTGGTAGATAAGTGATTTTTCTGGGGAGCATCTAGTAAGCAAAAACACTAGTAGTGCTTTCTTATCAATCCTTTTATCTGTCAAGAGGGTACATTGTAGGGCTCCTAAGATGTAGAATCAGGAACCATTCACATGTGCAGAACTACTGTGTGACTTTTCTCATAATTGGCAGGAACTGTTTTTATTTCATCAACTCTTTGCTATGGTAAATTTCTACCCCAAACATGTCCTTTAACTAGAGATCGTGAGATGATAAGAGAGAATATAGAGCTTCCATCTTACATACCAGTAAGATAATGTATGAGTTTTCTGTCTTTGTAAAGAAAAAGAGTCATTATAATAGAGAAAATTGTCATAATAAAAGATGACCCACTTTTTTAATAATATCAAAATGCATATAATGATTGACTATCTTTATAATCCATTGAAATGTTTCTATATTTAAAATAATATTAACCTTAAATTTTATTAAAAATTAGGATACCATAAAGTAATGGTCTCTGTATTTATATTATTAAAATACCAATTAAATACCAATAATTTTTCATAAATAAAAGTCATAGAATAATTCAGAATATGATGGCATTGTATTTTTTGGCTTTAAAAGTTGGAAGATCACTGCTTCTAGTAGACAGAATATTAATATAAAATATTTTTGCTATTGTGAGAAGACAGTGTACTTTGATCAGGTACATACCTGAATAAGATATTGGTATTATCTTGGACATGGCTTAAATATTAAGTGTGTGCAAAGTACTATTAAAAATCTTTTTATTAGATATAGATTTATGAATTTGATAACCCTGTAATAAAAAGTGAAGACAATCAGTGTGCTTTAATTTTAAATTATTTTATGATAATATTTACATTGTAGTTTGGTAGAATAGCCTAGATAAATAATACATATTAACCTAAAAAAGGTAGATATTAAATATTTTGCTCAATAAATAGCTTTTAGAAATGGTAAGTCATCTTTATTTCAACTGTGTAGACTGCTCTTACTGGAATAAAAGTAAAACTAATCAGAGAGGCTCCCAGTTAAGAAGAAAATAGGTCTCATTTGTCTCAGTTTGTATAATATCTGAAAGAGACAAAGAAAAGTCTAAAAGAATACTTAAATATGTTTTTGTTTTGGGGCCCCTGGGTGGTTCAGTTGGTTAAGCGTCCGACTTGATTTCAGCTCAGGTCTTGATCTCAGGACCTGCTTGTTCTTTTTTTTTTTTTTTAAGAAAATTGTAGTCTGTCATTGAAAGAAGGACTCACATACTTGGGTTTAATTTTGAATGTTACTATAATATTCATTACAATTTATAGAATCTCCTTCTCTGAAGAAGTAGTTGAGAGACCTACTATTTAATGGTGTACGTTGTGTTATCATAATTTGGTGAACAGAGATCCTATCCTTAAAGAAGATAAAATCTTGCCCTGGGTATTCTGTGATATACATTAGAATCTAATATCATACTTTTCTCTGCCTTTTTTTTTTAAGACCTTAAGAGCCACATAAACTTCCATGTTAACATTTATTTTAAAACTACCTCCTCATATACACACAAAGATTCTGTAGTTCATTTCTCCAGTATATATTTAAATCTCAGTATGAAAGTATTGTGTGCTTTTGAAATTTGTTAATAAGTAACCAGATTGTGATTTCTATTGGGATTGTGAGTGACAGAGCTAAATACTCTCTCTAATCCTTATTTACAGCCCCTTCCACAGGTCTAGTGGAGGCTTCTCATTGATCTGGCAACTTAGACCCACTGTGACAATATGATCAGGTCTGAGCTTGAATGGGAGCCGCTCTAGGGTTAGTCCTTTAGACAGTGTTGGGCCACGATTAATCTGGAGATGGGTCAGAGATACCAGGTTGTGTGGACTCAGTTTAACATCTTTGAGATTAGAACCTAATCTCTGCTCTCTGTGGCCACCACAGCCACTGAATCTAGCTGTGGCAATGAACCAAAATACCCAATATGGATGAGGGTTAATGAGAAATGGAGACCAGGAGTCTTCCTAGCAACTGGGAGTAAGAATAAGCTGCTTGTAACTGAAAAGAAGATTAGAATTCCTCTTGCAGCAAGGCAGAAAAGAGGAATTTAATAGATGTCATATTGGTTGGAAAATGCACAATGTAAAATACCAGGGTGGTCATCTATAGCCCTCTTTAAATAATTGTGCATATCATATCATCATGATTGCATTTAAATGATTTATGAACATCAGTGAATTTTTAACAAATCATTCAAAAGTGCTGTATTGCATGAGAAGTGGAATACAATATCAAAACCAAAATGTTTCTCAGCACTTTCAAATGGTTTCTTAGATCTAATGATCAAAAATTCAAATGATCTTTTTGTTGCTTTTTTTTTTTCCTGTTTGGTTTAAATGATGCTTTAGAATCTAAAGCATGTGAATTATAGATGGATGCTTCATTTTCAATCCCAGACTCACAGTCAGCTTTGAATTTGTTCCAGGAAAAGGATTTTCAAAATATCATTTCCTGTTTGGCATGTGTTTGTGTGTGTGTGTGTGTGTGCACACATGTGTGAGCATTCCAAATTTAAAATATCTCCATTTATGAAAAACATCTTAGGTTTTGATGTTAGGAATTCTGGTTGACCTGAAAACTATGGGTAAAGAAAAGATTTTTTAAAAAACCTGTACCACTAATGAATCGGGAACTGTGATACATTGCTGTTACCTGTTAGCTTCCACAGAATGACTCTTGATCTTTGGGTTGGTGTTTCCATCCAACTCGTCTATTGACTTGGGCATTTTTAAAAACAAACAACTAAAGATCCTGCTAATTATGGTTTGTTCTTTAAGTTCCTTTTACAACAGCAAGGGTATTCTCAAAGTTTTGCTCATTGGAAATTTGAGACAGTTTTTGCTTATTTGTCTACTGCATGCCAAGATAGACTCAGTGCCATAGATAAGAGTTAGGAGGCAGCCAGTATTCCTACATTTGTGAACATTACTATCAAAATAGGGTTTTTTTCCCCTCCAAAAACATTTGAGGAATTTATTTCTATTAGATTTCCATATCCTGATAAGAAATATAAATGATGAAGTATTTTAAACCTTTAAGATGAAATGCTCCAAACTTAATTTTAGGTGCAATTTATCACAAAATAACTCTCCTTAAAGACAAAAGTCAGTTTTGTAGTCTGTGCTCGTGGTACGATTTTTTTCAACTGTTGTTATTTTTGTGACTGCTACTTTATTTTAAACTTTTCATCCACGAATTATTAAGAAACCTTGCAAAAAGAATTAAATTGTAAACTGTCTTCCTGGTTTTTGGTTTGTTTGTTCTTTAAGATAACTAAGGAAGTTTATAGGAGAAAACACCACCTCTTTTTTTTTATCCCTTATTGTTCTGTTTTGTAACTGTAAGTAGCATTTGTCCTTTTAAACAGTTTTAACACGGAATCACATTTTCTTTACATTGCATTTAACATTTAGAGGACCTATGTCTTGTAACCAGAGAGAGGTTCTGTGGCTTGATATATTTTTTTCCTTACCATGACCCCAGTGAAAAAAAAAGAAATATGAAAATTTTGAAGTTATATGTCCAGGCTTCCTAAGTTCCATTATTATGACAGTTATAGTAATTATTATGACAATTAGCATGATAATTTTTAAGTTACCAGGAGTTAATTCACCTAAAAATTGTGAAGCCTTTTCTATTTTCTTGCTTTTAAGAATACAGTGCCTATTCAATTTATTAAATGAATACATCTTTATAGTATGCTATTTGTTCTATGGAGCAAAATTTTCCTTATCTCTTAAAAATTTATTTTTTTATAACTTAGAGTTATACTCTTAATTGCAGTTTATTGGAATTTGTTGAGTAAGTCTATTTTCACCTGAGTTACATTTTTAAATTCTGATTTTTATAACTTCTAAATTTATTATATCCCCCATAATCATTACTTTTTCTACTCTATAGGCCATAACTTTTTAGATAATGCTCATAGGGCTGACTCTATCCTACCTCCATCACGTTAAGCAAGTTAATATTTTTGTTCACTTAGTAATTTATATTTATAATAATCATATAATTACATATAATAATCACATAATTGTTCATGAATCTGTTAGTGAAGTGAAAAATGATATTAAATATCCTGAACTTTTAAAATTGAAAATTCTTAATAAAAATTCTGCTTGATTTTGTCATTATAGGTATAATGTAAAATGTACAGTTATATGAATTTCCTTGAATTCTGTGAACTATTTTAGCAGTTAGCATAAAGGTCTTCAAAATTAATTTCATATTAATTTGAAGGATAATTGTTGGAATTAAATGTATCTCTAAATGTAGTTACATATTTCATTCATGGAATGCTATTCTTTGAGTGCTTACACTGCTGTTAAGGTCTAATTTAGATTAAAATTATTTAAAGATGACATTAAATTTCTAATGCTTGAGGAATAGTTGAAGTGGAATATATGCATGAACTTATTATTTCTCTTTCTAATATACAGTAAAATGCCATCACTTTGTATTGCCTAAAATGTTAATATAAAAACAAACATTCAGGTACCTTTTAGTAAAAGAGTTGAAATATATTAAATCTTCTAATACACGGTAGTTTAACATTACCACATTTGCTAAAGTATTTATTATGTATATAAATTAAATAGCTCAATAATAGGAAAATCTTAATTGTTGTTGACTATTAAAGGTGTAGCCTTTTCTCCACCACTATCCCTTACACCCTCCAACTTTTATTTACTATAGTAGCAATTTTTCCTAACATTTCAGTCACATGTAGATAAGTGAGATTTTACTGTATTTTCAAACTTCTGTAAGTTTCTGTTTGGGCACTTAAGTTTTTTACTTGGATACAAATACCTGTTCCTTTTTCATGTGGTGTTGTGGGAACATATGGTGGACTTGATTTGAGTTTACTACATATTAAGTAATATCATAGAAAAAGTCTATCCAATGTAATCTGTACACTGAAACCACTCTGTAGTGCCGTTTGTTGCGCAGTGGAGTTAACTACATGTAAGATGGCCCTGTCTGAAATTCCACGGTATTTAAATACTTAAGTGCCAAAAGAACCTGGAATGAAATTATCTCACATCTGTAGTGGGGTCCACCCACAGAACTCCAGCATACAAATTTACAGTGATGTTCTAGTGTATTTACTTTGAAAGAAAGCAATGCAGACATTTATTTTTACTTTCTTATTGTAGGCTCCCAGCAGTCTTATGGAGACCCTTGAACAGCATCTAAATACATTAGAAGGAAAGAAACCCGGAAACAAGTACGCATTAGTTGTATAATTCTAAATAAGATGAAAAATGCTGCAGTCGTTCTTTATAAGAATGAGATGTATCATGGTACCGCTTTTACTCCTACAGTTTTAGGGTATGCTTTACTGTAATTCTTCTAGGTTCCCTCAAAAATCCCATCTGATTAACTTATGACAATGTGGCCCCATGTATAGGCAATCTATCTGCAGGCTAATGCAGCAAATTAGTAGGTTGTACTTAGGTTGTCTGAACTTGCTGATGTATATATTTGCCCTTACAGGGGATTCACAATATGCCGAAAAAGAGTTGTTCATGTTTAAAAATCGAGGCTGTTATCATTGGGCATGAGTAAAACAAGCACAGGTTTCACAGGTAGCCTTGAAGATTCTGTAACGTTATCAACCCTGTTGTGAAAAAAGCAAAGCCCACTAGTATAGTTTTCTGCATTTTAGAAATTCAGCATGGCATGCTGCTGACATTTTGCTCAGGGATCTTTTTTATAGAGTGAATAGCAATAATAATAATAATAATAATAATAATAATAGCAGTTTTACTGGATTTGCATACCTTTGTGCTTGGGCACATACATTTTTTACTATTTTTCCTCATTGCATGCAAAAATATGCAGGTTCCATTTCTTGTCTTCTCTCTAGCGAGTATCAAACTTGTCTATTCATAGGTCCCAGTGCTTTCCAGTCTTTGTGCCTTGTTCAAATTATAATTCTGCTAGTCTTGGATGCCCACCCTCCTTGTCTCTATGTGTGTAAATCTTACCCGTCCTGGGAGGGCTGTCTCATTAAGCCTTCCTTAATCATGCACTGCCCTGTGTTGTGGCCATTTTTTCCCCACATATGTGGTTTAGTTAGGTCTTCTGATTCTAAAGTTCAGGGACAACTTTATACTTCATTATCTCCATCTGTAGCTGTCTCTACAGAGTTGGTTTGAAATCTGTCTGTTGGTCCCAGCCTTATGTTTATTTTGTTTAGATTGACAGCAGAAGTTAACAGGGACAACCTATGAACTGATCATTGGAGGGCTGTATGCTGACCGTGGATTTTGCCTATGATACAGCCATCAAAATGCAATTCCTTTCCTTTTTCTTCTCTCTCGGTGTTTGCCCAGAATCTGTTCGTGTCCTGATGTTACTTGTTACTTGTTGTTCCATTAGCTAAGCGTGATTTCTGTCATCTTTTCCAAGTTAGTATAAAAATTATTGCATGTTTTAAATTTTCGACGATGAACAACAGTATAGGAATCTCTCAGGCAGTTATGGTGGAGCTCTTTGGTATGATGCATGACAGGACCTCTCAGGAACTCTGTTAAGATTGTTAACACAGTGAAAGTGCAAGGTCTACCTCCGCTTCATTGTGGCCATGGGTGGTCAGACTTTTGTGGATAGAATGATGCCAACTAAAAAGACATGAGAGTGCATTAAGTGACATGGAGTACATTAAGATGCCCACTTCCAGTGGTTGCTGGAGCTACCCTGTATTAGGGTATCTAAGAAGCCAAAGGAATTGTGTGGGATTTATGCAAAAGGGGGCAGGAAGCCTAAGAAACGTCCCTGCTCCTGTGGTAGAAGGACCTCTTTGGCAAAGGAAATATGCATATCTTCAGGACTTAAAGCCTCTCCCTTGGAAAGGCAATGCAGGATGCTTGGTGAAAAGGCAGCTTCTCCATATTCTTTTCCCTTCAGGGTCCCCCTCACCCTGCACAGAGCCACACTTTCCCCATGTTACATCTGCCAGTACTGCAGTCACCAGAAAAAGCAGCCTTCTGCGGTAAATTTCATTAGCCTTAACTTCATGTGTAAATTCGCCCCCTTGTGGCTACTGTAAACTATTTTTGGAAAACAGCTTTGTACCCATAGTTATTTCTAAGAGTAGGGAAATAGAAACCCAGTGATCTTCTGTTTTGAATTACCTTTGAGCATAATGTTTCTCTCTCCTTTAAAATCATTTTATGCTTGTCATATTTCTTCTCTGAATTGGCTGAGACCACATATGAACTTGTCTTTTGCTTATTCCCTATTTTTAAAATAAATGAACTATAGTAGTTAACTGTTTTCTTCTTTGTATGTTTGTGCTTACCTGGGAACTTAAGTGAAGGGTGAGTACTACATTGAGTGACTTTTTTGCATTTGGTTATTACTAAAAATGCAAAAAGCACTCTTAAGACTCCACATTTGGTATTTAGAACATTTAAAACTGATTTCTGTCAATTTTACACATCTATTTTTTCATTATACTTTTTTATTTGTCTCCCAAGGTGACTGGCATAAATGGTTTTACTTTATTTTGGTCTTCTTAAATCAAGACTAACAATCTCTCTTAGGTGTATGGACATTCCTCTTAGATTTTGGAAATCAGATCTTTTTATTTGATTAGTGGACAAAAGATTTTTCCATGGCATATGGCAGAAGTGCCAAAAGACAATGTGATAAAATTAAAGTTGTTTGTCTTTAATTAGCAGTATAAAGTGATTCTAATCTCTGAGGCAGTGAAGCGTTTTCAAATGTGTACTATAAAAATATGTATACTCCTTATATTTAATGGCTTTTATTCACTGATATTCATTTTTGAAGTTTTATGCAATACTGTGCAATATATTTGTATATTGTGTGTTTCTGTGATCCCATAGAACAAAAGAGAAATTGATTTTGTTTTACATGTGGGTTTACTAAGTGCTGAGGGTACAGAAAACCTGATGAGTCGGTTGTAATTAAAATTACTTGGAAGACAGGTTTTTCACATCTGTATTTTGGTTTTTTGTCTTCTGGCTAGCATTTATAGCCAAAATTATATTTATATTTATTATTTATTATATTCTGTTTATTATTATTATAGAGATTATTGTTGTGGATAAGACATAACAAAATTTCCTCTTTTGATGACTTATTATTAACATCCTGGAAGTAAACCTTGGCATTTTCTATGTTCATCATAAAAACCCATAGATTTATGTGTAGCAATTCATTCTCTTTTATAAAATTACATTCGTGCTTTATTCTTTCCAGTGCTGTTCACTATGTACTAGATTTCTCTTGCTGAAATCATTAAAATAAGTATTGATTTTTAGTGTCATTATCAATATATATAAAAGACTGTAGCATTTTCTTTTATAAAGGGCAAATGACTGATGGTAGGGTAGGAAATCAATGAAGAAACAGAAACAGGTAAAAGGAAGAGAGGAACATGCATGCCAGGCCCATCTGAGTAACTAGAAGGGTCGTTTAGTAATGGTGCTCGTGTAGGAGCTTGGCAAACTGATTCTTGTTCCAGTTATGATATTGCTACTTAGGTTTGAGGATGATAATCTTTAATAGCAGGTATTTGCCAATAAGGTTGAACATAAGAGGTTATTAATGTGATGTATATTATTAAATCTATTTTGCTACATTCAATAAAACAAAAATTCATGATACTGTACAAAATTTCAGCTACTAAATTTCTGCTAATTTTGTTTGGCTAGTGCCGCTTGTGCTACTTTCTCTGTAGATGAGTAGAAAGCCATCCCTGCCATCCTCTAAGACTCTGACAGTAGGCTTCCTGTTGAAATGTGTTTTTTCTTCATTTTGTTTTATCATTAATTTATTTTTCACCAACCTGGGTTGGTAAAATGTAAGCTGTTTAAGCAGTTATTTCTGAAGCACTTTGCTAGAAATGATGTACAAGTCAGTGCTAGAAATAATCTCACTAAAAAAAAAAATTACTCCTTTCTAATTTTCCCTCACTCCCTTAGAAACGAGCATTGAGGTTACTGTTAAGTTGCTACTAGTTCTAACAGGATAATGGGAATATTTTCCATAGATAGTTTTCATTACAGCCCTGAGAAAAACAAACCGGGAGTATACATGTGGAAGTTGAGACACATTTCAGGCACACGGCTCATAGGGATTTTTTAAATTCTGGTGTTCCTTTTATGCCTCACAATTATGTTTAAATGAATCACAATGTACCTTAATGAGTTTTCTCACTTTTTGAAATAATAAACCAGAGGGGTTTTTGTTTTTGTTTTTGTTTTTAATTCTGTGAGGTCTTATTTTCCCCAAGTCTGGGCAACATTTTTAAAATTCCAATTTTATTTTTGTTGGATGCAGGCAATAATGATCAACTTGAAGATTTGAGTTGCTAGAGATATAGGAAAAAAACTTGGGTTTAAGAATTTCTAATACTAGAAATTAAGTGAATGGAAAACATTGAAAGAGGGTGTCGTAATTGAGTGAAGGATAAATTATTTTTTTAAAAAATAGTTTATCCATTGCTAAAACATCTGTGTATAAACCAGTTAATGCTTGTCCAAGTGATATCAAACTTCAGTGCTTCTGCAAATGAATTCACGTATATTCAATTTTAATTTTTTTGGTTGCCTTTTAGATCTGGTGCTCCCTCTCCATTAAGTAAGGTAAGTTTGTTGTTTGTTCTGTTTTGACCATTTTAGGAATTTTTGAGTGTACAGGTCAGTGACATTACGTACATTCATATTTTTGTGCAACCATCACTATCATCCATTTCCAGAACTTTTGTCATCAAAACTGAAACTCTGCACCCTTTCAATACTAACTGCACATGCTTCTCCTCAGCCGCAGGCAACCACCATTCCGCTTTCTGACTCTATGGACTGGACTACTCTGGTTACCTCAAATAAGTGGAATCATCCAGTGTCTGTCCTTTTTTGACTGGCTTATTTTACTTAGCAAAATATCTTGGAGGATTTATTTATGCTGCAGCATATGTCAGAATTTCCTTCCTTTTTAAGTCTGAAAAACAATCCATTGCACCTGGGTGGTTCAGTGGGTTAAGCATCTGCCTTCAGCTCAGGTCATGGTACCAAGGTCCTGGGATCAGGCCCTGCATCAGGCTCCCTGCTCAGCAGGGAGTCTGCTTCTCCCTCTCTCTCTGCCTCCTCCCCACCTATCTCTCACTCTCTCTCACTCTCTCTCAAATAAATAGATAAAATCTTTAAAAAAAAAATCCATTGTGTGTATACACCACATTTTCTTCTTCCATCCATCAGTTGGTGACTTGGGTTGTCTCCACCTTTTGAGTGTTGTAAATAATGCTGCTGTGTGAACATGGGTATATTAAAATACCTGTTTGAGTTCCTGATTTCAGTTTTTTCAGGTATATACTCAAAAGTGGAATTTCTGGGTCTTATGGTAATTTTATTTTTAATTTTTTGAGGAAAGGAAAGGTAAATTTTGTGTATTCTACTTTATATTAGTTTCTCAATCTCATGTGGTATAGCAATGTCTACTTAGTCCTCTATTTGGACTAATTTTTTTTTAAGTAGAAATTTTCATACATTTATATGACAACTGAAAACAAACTAGTTGCATAGCACATACATATTCTAAATCCCAGCCCTGTGAGATAAAACACATAATTTTATATGTGTTTGAATGGTAAAGAAGTCAGTTGTGGTTGAGTGTCTTTCTGCAGGCATGCCTTTTAGACACTCCACTGTAATAATTTTAATAACTTTCTCCTCCCTCTTTTTTTATCATATTGAAGGACAGGATTAGGGTTATCAGTGACAGTAGTACTTATTTCCATAGGTCTGTAGCTCACATTTGCCATTGTGTTTTTCAGACAAAAATGTAATAAATGTGCTCTTTCCTCTACAACAAATTTCCATTATGTGATTGCTATTATTACAGAGATGAAGAATGTCATTATGACTGACCTGGTGGTTCCCAGACACCCTGTACTGTGTCAGTACCTGGCTGGCTGCCTAAGATTCCCTCCAGCAGCTCAAGCCAACAAAAAGCTCCCTGGTGATTCTGATATAAAACCGGGTTTAAAATCATTATGTTTATGTGAAAAATTCCAACATACGACTGCAGAATAGAGTGTGGTAAAAATTACGGAATCAATTGGGGATGGTCTATCTCTACATTTTGGCCAAATCGAATTTTATTGACATTTTCTTTTTGTAATAGGATTATTCTGGTTCTGTTTCCCTCGCTCTATCATTTCTTCAGAGCTTATTGTTACAGAGCAGTTTTTAATGAGCCTTTGAAGACCTTCATTTTACATTTATGTTGGTAGCTTCATTGTTGTTTTTAAGTTCTCAGTGATATCTTCATAAACATTACTTTTTTTTTTAAAGATTTTATTTATTTATTTATTTATTTGACAGAGAGAGAGGCAGCGAGAGAGGGAACACAAGCAGGGGGAGTGGGAGAGGGAGAAGCAGGCTTCCCGCAGATCAGGGAGCCTGATGCGGGGCTCAATCCCAGGACCCTGGGATCATGACCTGAGCCGAAGGCAGACGCTTAATGACTGAGCCACCCAGGCACCCCTAAACATTACTTTCTAACCTTATTTACATGTATTGACTTAAAAAAAAATCCACTAATTTCTTTTAAGAGGAGTTGTCAGTGTCCACAGTGGATAACATACAAATTAAGTTTGGTTGGTCCTTTCTATTCCCTTGATAATCTTTCATATTCCATTTGAAAATTTTGAATTTTGGTGAAGAGAAAGGCTTGAGTTGACGTTTTCTGAGCAGCAGTTTCCATACTGCTCATGCATTTGTTTTTCTTGATATGCTGAATGCTTAACACTTGTGTATCTATTGAATTTTGACTTCTTGATTCTTGAACAAATTGATATTAGACAAATACTACTTAAGTCTGAATACCCCTGAACATTATCTCCTCAGTCCTTTTTCTTAATTTATACTTTTTAAAACTTTCTTTAAGTTTGGTCTATTTGAAATTAGGTGTCCATTTATAGCAGTATCTGATAGCCTTTGGTTGGTCTTAGTCTTCATGTTTTACTTGCTCTTTATCACATTTCCACTTACATTATCAGTGGACTGGTTTGAGATGCCCCATTAATCTTTCTCTTGTAAATACATGGAGAATTAAATATACCAAATAAAGGGAAATAGAATTAGGATAGTTACCTCAAAAAAATCTTAATTTTTAATATGTTACCTGACTATTAAGTTCTCTTTTTAAAAATAAACCAGTCCAGGACAATAAATGTTAGATTTTATTTCACTTTTTTAGTTTTATCTATGTCATATTAGTGATGGGATATTGTCATGATACCTTTAAACTGTCAGTGACTTGAATCTTGTTTATAAATTGTTCTCTGCCATCTGTGAACTATTTTGAAAGTTAGATTTCTAGAATTTAAAGACACCTGAAAAGACTTTATATGATGTCTGGTTAGAATGCAAAGGAAGAATGGTCTTGGTTTTTTGTTTTTTGTTTTTTTTTAAACATATAATGTATTATTTGTTTCAGAGGTACAGATCTGTGATTCATCAGTTTTACACAATTCACAGCACTCACCATAGCATATACCCTCCCCAATGTCTATCACCCAGCCACCCCATCCCTCCCACCCCCCCACCACTCCAACAACCCTCAGTTTGTTTCCTGAGATTAAGGATTCCTCATATCAGTGAGGTCATATGATACATGTCTTTCTCTGATTGACTTATTTTGCTTAGTATAATACCCTCTAGTTCCATCCACGTCATTGCAAATGGCAAGATTTCGCTTTGGTTTTATAGCAGTTATCCCAATTGATAATTGTTTTCATTTTTAGCAGCTGGTAAGATCTTTCCTGCTAATTTTTTTTTATTTTTTTTAATTTTTTTTTAAAGATTTTATTTATTTATTTGAGAGAGAGAGAATGAGAGACAGAGAGCATGAGAGGAAAGAGGGTCAGAGGGAGAAGCAGACTCCCCGCTGAGCAGGGAGCCCGATGTGGGACTCGATCCTGGGATTCCAGGATCATGACCTGAGCCGAAGGCAGTCGCTTAACCAACTGAGCCACCCAGGCACCCCTTGCTAATTTTTTTTTAAAGATTTTATTTATTTATTTGACAGAGACAGACACAGTGAGAGAGGGAACACAAGCAGGGGGAGTGGGAGAGGGAGAAGCCGGCTTCCTGCCAAGCAGGGAGCCCAGTGTGGGGCTCCATCCCAGGACCCTGGGATCATGACCCAAGCCAAAGGCAGACGCCAACGACTGAGCCACCCAGGCGCCCTTTCCTGCTAATTTTATGTTTAGGAAATACCAGTTAGCCTTGACTTTAAATACATGAGTAGAAATCATTGCAATGTTAAGCCAAATACTTTAAACATAATTTTATATAAATTGCATTTAACTTTTTTAAAATTTGAAATCTGTTTTGTCCAATATTGATTACTTATTACAGTTCTCCATTTCAAATTTTCTTGAGTTTTTTCTCCCACAAGGAGTTACCAAAAAATTGCTGTGAATGTCAGAGGTCTGCAAAGTGGAGGTCCTGTTTCCCTGTGTCCTCTAGATTCGCACTTGACTAGAATGTGTTGTGCATCTTCACTTTCAGTCGTCTCCAGTCACAACTGTTACGTCTCCTAATTCTACACCAGCTAAAACTATTGATACATCCCCACCGGTTGATTTATTTGCAACTGCATCTGCGGCTGTCCCCGTCAGGTTAGTTAATGAGTATACACTGAATACACTGAACTCTTTATTAATATTTTGATTCAGCTTTTGTTTTATTTTTATGTACTGAACCCAGATGTTTTCACAAAATCAAATCTAGTCCTAGTAACATATGATAGTTTGGGCTATATTTAGGTTCACAAAGTAATTTCTTTTACATTTTCTACAGTTCCCTAGGCCTGTACTCTCAAAGCATCAGAAAGACGTAAGCTGTAGAAATCACCTTCTTGCTCCCACATTTAGGAAAGGAGGTGGAAGAATGGTACACACACTTCAGATTCTTCTGAAATTGTGAAGATATGGAAAATGATTTCAGAAATTAGCTCTTCTTGTGTGAAATTTAAACGGTGTCTTAGGCACTTAAAAAACAACAACAACCACTTTGCAGTTGTAGGCCAGTTAGCTGGTGCTTATGAGGAACTCAGACTCTGGTGGTAGGAAGAGACCATCGGAATCTTCCTAATCAGCTTTTGTAGCACCTAAAGGTCAGAAAGTAGCAAGAAAGGTGGAGATGGCTGTGCATTGGGTAAAATCTCAGGGCTGCCTCAGATGAAACCCCAACTCAAAGAGGCTTCCTCAGATCATAATTTTAGGTCTCCCTTTGTTTGGTTCTTTTGTCTTGAGAGGATTTATAGTATCTGTGACTGATTATGAATGCCCTGTATTTGGAGACCTGAATTTTGAACTGAGTAATAAATCCATGTCATGTACCCATGTTAACTATGTGTGTTACCCCTACTTGCTTAGTTCCGCTTTTTATAATCACCAATTTGATAAAACCAAGTCCTTTTTGCCTCTATACTAAGACAAATTGCTTCTTCTAAAAGTTTTGATTCAGGTCTTAATCATGTTTCCCTATCCTGGCACTTAGACCAGTTATGTTTATGAAATGGAAATCAAACCTAGGCAAATTTCATGTGCTTTGAAATTAAAAAACAAAACCAGCAGAATCCTTTCTTCAAAAGAATATTACCTGTAAATCTAATATGTAAAAAAAGGCTAAGATGGAATTGCTATTTATGAAGAAGGGTGGGGAATCTGGCACCCTGGTGGGTTGGTACCTGGTCTGGTAACCTGTAGGACAGTGTGTTTCAATCCTGAATGAAACACCTGAGGCCATGTTAAAATGAAGATTCTGATATAGAAGATATGGGGTAAGCCCAAAATTCTGTACTTCCAACAGTGTCTCAGGATGTTACTAGTTTGAAGACCACACTTTGAATAGCAAAGCTCTAGGCTCCTCCTTAGAGCCTCTGCAGATGGAGGAGCTTTGAAAAACACAGCCCTAGCTGAATGACAATAAAAAATATAGAAGTATTTTAGATGAGGCCTCTTATAGGCAAACTTGCTACGTTATAGTTTAACTTAGAAAAAAAGGTATATTAGTGATTATTCATTTTAGTATTCTTTGCTTTATAAATAAATTCTTAAGGCAAGAATTTTTTTCCATTCAAAAAATTTTAGAAAATAGAGAAAGGGGAAAAATTACCCATAATTCTCTTACTGTAATACCTTTAATATTTGGAGTATGCTTTCTTTTATCACAGTCCTAACCAGCACTTCAGATGCTACCCAGTGGACAGTAACATATTTGATAAAATTCCCCCTTAATTTGAGGCATTTAGGTTTTCCCCTTTAATTTCTGCTTTATGATTTGTTGAGTGGCCCAATGCTTGAAGGATGGTTTACCTGTGTTCTTGTGTATAGAGCAGGAGTTGGCAAACTATGGCCTATGGGTGAAACTAGCCCACTGTCTGTTTTTATAAATAAAGTTTTATTGGAACAAAGACACATTCATTTGTTTATATATTTTCTGTGTCTTATTTCATGCTATACTGGCAGAGTTGAATAGTGATAGACCATCTAGCCCACAAACCTAAAATATTGAGCTTCTGGCCCTTTACAAAGTAGTTTGCCAACCCTTGGGATAGAAGAACATATGCTATACTTTCCAAAATATTATTCTCTTATTGGATTTAAAATATCCAAAATCTTTAATGCTTTTGGCATCAGTCTTTATTTAAAAGCATCGCTATGTTATAAAATTTTAAAATATGATTTTAAAATTGTAATTTCCTTTCAGCACTTCTAAACCGTCTAGTGATCTCCTGGACCTCCAGCCAGACTTTTCTTCTGGAGGGGCGGCAGCAGTTGCAGCACCAGCGCCACCACCACCTTCTGGAGGAGCCACCGCTTGGGGAGGTGAGTGAAACCAGCCAGCCATGCCATTTTTCTATTTAGTTGTTTTTATTCAGGTTGTTATTGTTATACTTACCTTCTGAATGTCCAAAATGTTGCTAGAAACTTGGAGAGAAAATGCTAAGAATGGCACCTATTGATTTAAATATATATTGAGAGAGAGGCAGAGAGTCTCTCTGTAGTTGTCATATAGTTTTTATTTTAAGAGTTGAAACAAAGGCAGTATTTTTCTTTGCTATTCTAAAATTCTGACTATTTTTAATAATTGGCCTGTAGAGATTCAGGCATTAGAGGATTGGGTGTTCCTGTGAACTTCAGAGATTACTCAAAGGCAGCACTTCTAATTTGATTTGTTCAGGTGTAGCCTCCTTCCTGGATTCCTTTATACCTAAATTGGTTTTAATTCATATTGTATTTGACTTCAGACAGTTGAAATCTGGGATGGATTCTTGTTTGTGCCAGAAAAGATCCATACTAAACTAACTGAGAAGAATCACATCTAAGTGCTTGATTCCCATTTTTATTCATGGATCTTGAAAAAATTAAAATTTTATAAGCATTTGATTTAAAAAGCATATTAAATAATAATATAAAAATAAGTTAATTATTTTCAGTGCTGCACTGAGTTGGTTTTAAATACCTTGCCCTATTGCACCAAAATATCAAAATAAAATTTTTTAAGTTTAAAAATGATTCATACAACTATAGAAACAACACGGAACAACATAAGCAATGTGGTAGAATAGGAGGTGTCCCATCATAGCTCCCCACAGCAAAAATAATTTTGGCAGCCATTCATGGACAAAGTGCCTTTGTGGGAGCTTTGGGATCCAGGTAGGAGGTTGTAAAACCCCAATGGAGCCTGAGATCAAGAAAGGTTGTTTTGAGATGGCAGGCCTATGCCCAGAAGGGAGACTCACCAACCTTGTCCCTGGCTACAGATCTGGAAATACCACCTGTCCCTATGGATGCATTTATAGTCCTGTTTGGCCTTGGTCCTGCCATCAGCAACATCTACCAAGGGACCCAGAAGGAGCCATGCTTGCCCTTGCCTTGGGTAACAGGTCTGCTGACCTTTGATCTCAGCTGTGAATTCTAAAATGGCCTATGACCCAGCTCCAGCCTTTCTCAGTCATGGTCTGGGAGCAGTCCTGCCTGCCCAGGAATCCAGCAAGAAACACACCTGTCCATGCCCCTAGAGGCAAACCCGCCAACCTTGGTCCCAACTATGGACTTTAAATCAGCCCTCTGACTTGGTCCCAGCTCCATTCAGCTATGGTCCAGGACTAGACCTGCCTACCCAGCAACCCAGTGAGAGCCACACCTATCCATGTACTTGCTAATCAGTCCACCATCTGTGAACTCAACTGCAGACCCTGAAATGGACCCTTGTCCCAGTTCTAGCCCTACTGACCAAGGTCCTGAAGGTCCACCCAAGGATGAGGCAGATCCAAACCCATCCAAGCCCCTGGCAAGGGGCCCACCAACCATGGGCATCAAGCATACCCAGCAGGTAGCCAAATGACCTAGCTCCAACCCCTCTCAATTGTGATTCTGTTCTGATACTCTGGGCAGTGTCATTAGCACAGAGCAGGTGAAAGTCTTTACCTGCCAAAATGAGTCTTTAAAGACTGGAAGAGCTATTTACTTCAAATGCACAGACACCAACACAAGGCTACATGGATTACAAAGAATCATGGAAACAAACATGATACCACCAAAGGAAGCTAATAATACTCTAACAACCAATGCCAAAGAAATGGAGATCTATGAATTGCCTGACAAATAATTCAAAATAATCATCTTAATGAAGCTCAGTGAGATGCAAGAGAACAGAAATAGACAACAAAACAAAGTCAAGAAAACAGTACGTGAACAAAATGAGAAGTTTAATAAAGAGATAGAGGACATACGGAAGAACTAAACAGAAATCCTAGAGCTGTAGAATATAATGACTGAACTGAAAACTCAATAGAGAGCTTCAACAGCAGACTTAATCAGACAGAATAAAGAATCTGCAAACTCAAAGATACATCATTAGAAGATACCAGTTAGGGGAACAAAAAGGAAAAAGAAGAAAGCACATGCGACCTGTGGATGCTATCAAATGAATGAATATATGCATCAAGGGAATCCCAGAAGGAGACGACAGAAAAAGAAGGGCAGAAAGCTTATTTAAAGAAATAGTGACTGAACACTTCCCAAATTATACAGACATGGATATGGACGTTCATATTCATGAAATTCAAAAGTCCCCAAGCAAGATCAACTCAAAGAAGACATGGTATAATCAAATTGACAAAAGTCAAAGACAAAAAGAAGATCTTGAGAACAGCAAGAGAAAAGCCACTTGTCATATAGAAAAGAACCCTGATAAGGCTATCAGCACATTTCTCAGCAGAAGCCTTGCATGTCAGGAGTAAGTAGGATGATATACTCACAGTGCAGAAAGGGGAAAAAAAAAAAAAAACAACTTCAATCACAAGTACTGTACCCAGCAAAGTTGTCCTTCAGAAATGGAAAGATGAAGATATCCCTCCACAAATAAAAGCTAAGGAAGTTCATCACCACTAGACATGCCTTGTAAGAAATGCTAAAGGGGTTCTTCAAATTAAAGCAAAAGCATGTTAAGTACCAACATGAGAACATGAAAGAATAAAGCTCACTGGTAAAGGTAAATATATTGCCAAATTCAGAATACTCTAATACTGTGGTGGTGGTAAGTAAATCACTTTTAACTCTAGTATAAAAGTTAAAAGACAAAAGAATTCAAAATAACTAAAGCTACCATAATTTGTTAGTATAAACACGATATGTAAAACTTGTGACATCAAAGCATAGAATGTCAGGGGTGAGGAGGAGGAGAAAAAGTGTAGACTTTTGGTATATGATTGAAGTTAGGTTCTTAGCTTAAAATGTACTGTTATAACTATAAGCTGTTTTATAGAAGACTGATGATAAATACAAAGAAAACACTTCTACTAGATACTCAAAAGATAAAGAGAAAGGAATCAAAACATACCACCAAGGAAAATCAACAGTAAACAAAATGGCAATAATAAGTCCTTACTCATCAATAATTACTTTAAATGTAAATGTATTAAATTCCCCAAATCAGAAGACACAGAGTGGTTCAATGAATATTTAAAAAAAACAAAAACACAAGATCCAACAATATGCTGCCTATGAGACTCACTTTAACTCTCAGGACACACATAGGTAAAGTGAAAGGATAGAAAAAAGATATTCCATGCAAATGGCAATCAAAAGAGAGCAGGCTTGGCTATACTTTTACAGACAAAATAGATTTTTGGTCAAAATCTATCCAAGACACAGAGAAGGTCACTATATTATATAATGATAAAAAGATTAACCCATCAAGATGAAATAATAATTATAAATTAGTATATACACTAAATGTTGGGACACCTAAATATATAAAACAAATATTAACAGAACCAAGGGGAGAAATAACCACACAATAACAGTAGAGGACTTTTTTATGCCACTTTCAACAATGGATAGATAATCCAGGCAGAAAATCAATAAGGAAACAGTGGACTGGATAACTTTATTCTCAATGGGCCCAACAGACATATACAGAACATTCCATTTAACACAGAAGAATATACATTCTTCTCAAGCACACATGGAACACTCTCCAAGATAGATTGTAAGTTAGGGCACTAGACAAATCTTAGCAAATTAAAGAAGATTGAAGTCATATCAAGTATCATTTCTAATCTCAGTGGTATGAAACTAGAAATCAGTAACAAAAGGAAAATTGGAACATTCACAAATATGTGGAGATTAAACAACATACTCCTGACCAACCAGTGGGTCAAAGAAGAAATTGAAATGAAATCAGAAAGTATCCTGAAACAGATGAAAATGGGGGCACCTGAGTGGCTCAGTCGGTTAAGCGTCGCCTTTGAGGCCTGTGATTGAGCCCTGCATCAGGCTCCCTGCTCAATGGAAAGTCTGCTTCTCCTTCTCCCTCTGCCTACCACTCCCCCCTGCTTGTGCTCTCTCTCTCTCTCTCCCCCCAATAAAGAAATAAAATCTTAATTTAAAAAAAAAACACATGAAAATGGAAACATAAAATACCAAAACCTACAGGATGCTGCAAAAGCAACTCTAAGAGGGAAGTTTATAGTGGTAAATTCCTACATTAAGAAGAAAGATCTCAAATAAGCAAGCTAGCTTTATACCTCAAGGAACTAGAAAAAGAACAAACTAATCCCAACATTAGCAGAAGGAAGAAAATAAGAAAGATTAGACCAGAAATAAATGAAGTAGAAACTAGAGACAATAGAAAAGATCAGTAAACCAAGAATTGGTTTTTTGAATATAAACAAAATGATAAACTTTTAGCTAGACTAAACAAGAAAAGAAGAGCAAGAACTCAAATAAAATTATAGATGACAGAGGAAACATTACACTTGATATTATAAAAATACAAAGAGCCATAAGAGACTACTATGAACGATTTTATGCCATCATATTGATAATCCAGAAAAATTAATAAATACCTAGAAACATACAACTGACTGAGACAGAACCATGAAGAAATAAAAAATCTGAACAGACCCATAATGAGTAAGGAAATTGAGACATGAATCAAAAACTCCGAACAAAGAAAAACCCATTACCAGATAGCTTCACAAATGAATTCTATCTAAACATTTAAATAGGAATTAATGCCAGTCCTTCTCTAATTCTTACAAAAAATTGAAAAGGAGAAAACACTTCCAAACTCATTTTTTGAACCAGTATTACGCTCAGACCAAAGCCAGATAGGGACCTGCAAGAAAAGGAAATTACAGGCCAATAACCTTGATGAACAAAAACACAAAAATGCTTTGCCAGGTATTAGCAAACCAAATTCAGTAACACATTAAAAGGATCATACACCATAATCAAGTGGGATTTATCAATATGTGGTTCAATATATACAAATCAGTAAATATGATATATGATATTACAGAATGAAGGATAAAAATCATATGATCTCAATCGTGTACCTGGGTGGCTCAGTTGGTTAAGCATCCAACTCTTGATCTTAGCTCAGGTCTTGATCTCAGGATCGTGAGTTCAAGCCCTGTGTGGGGATCCATGCTGGGCATGGAGTCTACTTTAAGAAAAAATCATATGATCTCAATAGATGCAGAAAAAGTACCTAACAGATTTCAACATCCTTTCATGATAAAAATTCTTGGCAGATTATAGGTAGAAGGAATGTACCTTAACATTATAAAGGCCATATATGATGAGCCCACAGCTAACATCATACTCAATGGTGAAAAGCTGAAACCTTTTTCTCTTAAGATTAGGGACAACACAAGGATGCCCACTCTCCACTTCTATTCAACATAGTGCTGGAAGTCTTAGCCAGAGCAATTAGGCAAGAAAAAGAAATAAAGCATCTGATAGGCTAGCAGAACCTTGGCTTGGGGCCTAATGGTCACTTTTTGATAATCAGACATCATTAGTCTTCTGTCTCAAGAAAATATCTATAACTGTACTATTTCATAGTAGTCGAAGTTCAGCTAGAGAGAAAAAATACTAATAAATTCTCTAATTCCTAAGCAGAATAGTAAAATTTAAGAAATTGAAGTAAAGTTGTATAATATGAAATCAAGAAATATTCACTACCTTCAGTTTGTATTTATCCTATAGATACCCAGTAGGGGTTGAACATGATGCTAAGTTATAACAAATATGTTTCGGTCATTTGACTAAGCAAAAATAAATAAAATCACTTCCTCGATCTTGTTTGATAAATTCATGCCACTTCTATTATTGAAACACATTTTAATTTTGCATAACCAGACAATAAACTATAAACCTTAAAACTCTGTAGACTTATTTAGATATTCTTATCTGACCATAATGCTAGTAAGAGGATTCATTTTCCAACAACCAAGGCCATTTCAGGTGTTTATGAATTTCTAATGGGGGTTATGGGTACTGATAAATATTACCATTTTAAGGTACATATTGTAAATGATAGTATTTTTCCTGTTGGCATAAGACAACCACATTTTAGCAAATTCATATTTTAGTAAACCTAAGTTAAATAATGCCATATAAGATTTTCATTCTGTGGGCTGGTAATGAACATGTTTGAAAGATGACAGAGCGTTTTTTTAATCCCTGCCATTGGCCCCATAATAAGGAGAGTATTTTTCTCTTCATAATAAATTCCTCTCTCAGCACAAACAAGTGAGTCTGTGTGTTGTCTTTCTGTGTATCTTAGAAGTGGGAAACAGATCATTTCTTCTTATAAATTCTTGAAGTGAAATTTCTCTTTTCTGAGAAATATAGAATTCCTATTAGAGTTTTATTAGTTGACCTAATTAGGTTTTTATTAGAATTAAGAGACCTAATAGAAAGTAATTACCAACATCCATTGGAAGGCTCACCATTATTATGCAATCATATGACTTTAATAGTTTCCATGGGGAATATTACCCACAGTACAAGCAATTTTAGTGACATATTACCATTTGCTTGCTAATTAAATCGGGGGGCATATCTATGGGCTATTTTGGAAACATGCATGTGTACACACACATACACACAAAGATTTATAGAAGCTTTGAAAGTCATAGTTCTGTAATGAAAATTATAACGACTTAAATGTTAGCTCTTGCTATTATTATTAGCAAGCATTTGATATGTTCCAGGTAAGGGTGAGCACTTAAATATATTAACACATTCAATCTTTATAATAACCTAGGAAGTTTAGCTTCATATCACTGCAAAATATAGATTTCCTTATAAATTTAGTTGTAGTTTTGTTTCCTCAGTTACAGTGAATATTTTCTAACACAAAAAAATAACTCTGATTATGTACTACTTGCCAGTGACTTGAACTCTGCTGCTGTGGGTTATGGGGAGGAGCAGTTTGTATAGTTTAATCTTTTATAAACAGTGGTAGCTTTGAGAATAATAACTGTTCCCATCATCATAAAGTAGGGCTTTCTTTTATACTAGGGAAAATTTTGCATCAAGCAAGAAATAAGTAACATAAATTGTATTTCGTCCAGAAAATTAAGATTTTAGAGATTAACACCTGTAGCAAAAGTTTTCAGCATCAGTTATGCACCATGTTTAGTTATCATACATTTCCCTAGGAAATTTTACTTTCCATCTTTCATCATATTGCAGCAAGTCTTATAACTCTCTATCTGAATAAAACACTAGCCAAAAACAGGGAACTAGTATTTTAATCTTTCATACTTTTTAAGAATATTTCTATTTCTCTCTCTTTCTAATACACATGAATAGTCTTCTACTTTCTCACTTACCAAATGTACGAAATAAATTGTCCATTCCCTATCATAGACAATAGCAAGTCTGGAAACTGTTAAATCACATGGCTCTTAGCTCTTCTGCTATCGCATTGTTTCTTGAACTAGCCATTGATAAAGCAAGACTAGAGAGAGTCCCACCAATGCCAGGAGAATAGAGAAACCAAGTCTGTCTGGCTTCTTAATGACCCAGTTTGGTTTCTAATTAATATTTTGGGATGTATGAGTATAGAGTAACAGTTATATTGGGCCTGATACTGTTGGTTTGAGGAATTATTGGAAGTACCTTCTGTTTCTCAGGATTTGGGACCTACCTTTTCAGCTTACAGCCCCAAATCAACATAGCTCCTTTTTGCCTGCTGTTAATTACGCATATGTTCTAAAATTAAAAAACTGTTCTAATGTGAAGTACCCTGTGTGCTATATTTGTTAATGCTGTTATGAAATATATAAGATTTGGTTAGAAGGGCCTTGATTACCTTAGTGTGTCTGTAGAGTGCTTTATCTAATATTTATTGGGTTTGTAAATTGCATAGTTAAATGAATATGATTATTTTTAGTGTCAAATTTATGTTTCTCAGTTTTTTAAATGTCTTCTAGAACTTTTAGTTTACTTAGTTCTCATATTGTTTCTAAGGCTCTTAAGAAAATAGCTCCCTAATGAGTTCTGATAAAATTTCTTCATGATTAAAATAAATTTCCAGTAACATTCATGAATTCAAATATGAGCCCTGGGTTATATCACATGAGTGGGAATACAAGAATACTATTGGACTCTCTAAATGTTTAACCTAAAGTCATAGTAAAGAATTACCCTTCCTGGGCTTTTTATTTAGGATGCCAACTGTAATCCCACTGTTGAACACTAAGAAAGTATGCACCTCCTAAAGGAATGCAGACCTCAGAAGGCCTGAAAAGTTTGGATGCTACACAGTCTTGTCTCATTCATCTTAAAAATAATTCTCATATGTTGTCACATAATGTTTATAAATGGAAAGATTATATATAGAATTGAAAAACATTCAATAGTGTGAAATTTATGAAGACAAAAATCATGGAGGTGAGGGTTATTTTTTTCTAGCCCCTAAACTTGGACTGTTCTTTGACTGTGTTTGGTATGTTCTACAATCAAACTGCAGCTATCAGAAAGCCTGTATTTATTTTGTGGTATTCTGGACTGAAGTGACACATCAAATAGAGGATTAATAAAGTTTCATTAACTACAGTTTCCTTAGAATTGATATTTATCATGTAGTGAAATGCATCAAAGCAGATGAAATGGTAAATCTGGTAAGAAATAGAGTTTGTCAAAGTTATTTAGAGCTGACTTCAGGTAAGTCTCTTGACCTTGCTTGCTCTCCGTTTTCCCATCTCTAAAATTGGAAGCTTGATCTAGAGGATCCCTACAGTCCCTTCCAGCACAAACATTCCATGATAATAAGAGGTAATACAGTATTTCGTGATTACAAATGGTCCAGAAAGGTGGATACAGCTAAAACGTCTTCAGTTAGTACCTCGCCCTGCTTGGACATTGGTGTGGTTGCATGTTTCAGCTTTCTCTCTTATTTCTTCATATGCTGACATATACTGGACATCGGTAGACCTTTTGGGAGAGGGTGAGTAAAGCTTTATTTTAAGTTTCTGTTGTGAGAGACCTCCGTCTCTGAATAACTGTCCTTATTTGGTCCTATGGAGTCTGGTATATCTTCTCTCCTTTTCCTCCTCTTCTCTCCTGTTGGTTCTCTGTCTGTGGTGCAACGTAGATTCTCTGGCTGCACTTTCCTCTGTTCCCTCTGAAGCACAAGTTTCAGATCCCTTTGCACCAGAACCTACCCCTCCTACCACAGCTTCCGAAACTGCAACTGCTTCAGCCTCTGCCTCAACTACTACAACTGTCACTGCTGTCACTGCTGACGTGGATCTCTTTGGAGGTTAGTCAGTCACATCACGGCTTTGTCCCTTTCCTGCCGGGTTTGCTAAAATTACCTTAGAGGTAAGGTGCTTAAAAATGTTTACATCATATAACAGCACATCAGAGTGTTCCACTACTTTTTACATGTTTATTCATATGCATTTATCTTCGCTAACTTTATCAACTTTATCTTCACTTAATTTTAGTGGCTTTAGAGCAAAGGTTGCAATACTTTGGGCCACCTGATTTTTCCGTTTTTTAAAAGTGAGGATTTAAGTTGCTATTAGAACCCTTGTCCCCTATATGCTCCTGCTCAGCAGTATCTATTTGAAGATGGTACCAGACCTCTCTATCATATTTAGGTGTGACTTTTTGACCACATTCACACTAGCTGATTGAATAGTGCTTGGAGAATATGGAAGGGGAAGTCCTGGCTTAAGTTATTTTTTAAGATGTAAGACAAAAAATCATCTAAGAGCAGTTCAGATTTGGAGGTCTCTGAAGAGAGTTTAGTGATATGTCCATTTTTGTAACTGTAAGCTTGTTCTGTACAAGCAAAAACTTGGAGCATCTTTGGCTTTGGAACTTTGAGAGATCATCTGCTACCAACACTCAAAATGCTGATGGAAAACAGGTTTAGGTCAGGCTTTGAAATGATTGCCTGAAAATATACTTTACGTGAAAATCTAAATTCTGACAGAGTTGATTTACAGCTGTGAGCTTGAGTCAGGTATCCTAGACTCTGGCAGCATAATATGCCTGGACCTGAGGAAGCGTCTGCCGCCATTTACACATTCCCATCTGAGTGGTGCTGATGTCCACACCTGGAGAAGTGCTGATGTCAAATACATACATCGAATGGTGTTATAGTCATCATAGTTTTGTGTTTCTTCATTACCATATAACATCTTTCCCAGGGTCTTTTGAGAAAATGGTAAAGAAATTGGAGGAGGCGAGTGACGGGGAGAGCAGGAGAGGTTTGGCAGGCTCTGGTGGAGTCAGTACATTCCCCGGGGAAGGTACGCTTACGCACTGCCACATAGCGCTGTGCTCCCCGCCATGGCCCAGTCGCTGAGGCTGGCCGACACTGTCCGAGACAAGGAGCACTCAACTGGACACAGCACTGTGCCCAGTGTTTCACACGAGGAAGTTGCTGCTGTCTTGCCACGCTCCCGTTCCTATTACAGGAGAAAACCATTTTTAAAGAAATAGGGGAAGGCTCTTGAATATTTTATTAAAAATAGTCAACCACTAGCAAAAGTTAGTTTTTCAGGTATGCCTCTATAACTTCTGAGACCAAAAATTAAATTTTTAGCTTAAATTTATAAAATCAACTTCTTTACCCCCTCCTACTCCCCCCACAATTAGTATTGGGTATGAGAGGTTTCTCATAGGCTTATGTTGACAGAAAAACGTCAAGGAAAATATGGACACGATGGATAACTCTTGTGTGCTTGAACATTTCCACATCTTTAGCTGTTTAGATTTTTGTTTTTCAGTCCATTTGTAAGGAGCTTAATTGCCTTTACGAAATCAGTCAACTCCAGCTTGCTTCCCTCATGGCTCTCTAGAATAATAAAGCCTAATATATTGCTTTGAAATAGTCTTTGTGCCATCATGCTGTTTGTGTTGATCACTTATTACTGATTTTTCTGCATTCCTCAAGCAGAAAAATCTGTATATTTGTAAATATTGTCATGGCTCTTTCTAACCTGAAATACAGCTTTAAAAGACTAATGCTTCAGAAAGCCCTCTAACTTAATGCCAAAGAATGGAGCCCTTCTTGGGATTTTACCAGTATCCTTTCTAGACATTTGGCTGTAGGTTTAGTGAGTACATCTGTAAATCTCATCACAATCATTTTTATTGATCTGGATAGTCCCACAACCTGTCCCCTGACCTCTGACAGCTATAAAATCTCTATCATTTATGATCAGGAGTCTATACGTGTCACTGTTATGTAGTTTGCAAGGATATTCCCTAATTTCTTTCATGCTCTTTATTGATTTACAACGAATCATTTAGAGATGGGCCATGTTGTGTGGCCATTTTTTTTCTTACTCTGTATCACTAAAATGGGTAAGTGATAGAACTCTTTAAATACACAAGGGCACCAGATATTTTGTTTATATGACTTTAAAACATGTGCTTTCAAGGTTTTATCTAGCTTGTACAGCAGTATTAAATAGGTATCTTTAGAAATAAGTTAAAGAGCTTTAATTTCTGAAAAGTAGCTAATAATTTCATGAGTATGAAATATTAAAACATTGAAATTTTCTATGCATTCTCATTACAAATTTGAAAAATAGGAAATGTTATCAGTTTTAAATATCCAGATTGATACCCCACATAACATTTTAGTTATTTCAGTGTAAGTCATTAAAAATTTTTTTTTCAGAAACATTATACTTACTAAATGCTTTATTTTTTAAAGTGAACTTTTAAGGAAAAAATCTGCTTTCTGTGGTCATGCAGAACAAGACTGCAAGATAGTATTGTGCTTTTAAAAAATCAGTAAAATTTACAGATACTGATAAAAATAAAAGACAAACTTCTTTAAAATATCCTATTTTTCACTTGAAAACTTTGCTAACAGCAACACATTAGTCTGACACAACACAGGGTTTTTCTAAGCACGGGAATGCAAAATTGATACTAATTCCTCTACACATTCACCAGGGTACCCTTTCATTCACCTGTGTCAGTATGTGAGCAAGCCTTCATGAGGATGTAGTCTGTGGGCATGAAATCAAGTGGCTGGAAAACCAGAGAACTTAGCTCACAAGCCTGCTTTCATTTGCACAAGTTTGTTGACAAATTAACTTTCCTTAAAACCAGAACTTAAATATAAGCACTTAAAAATAGATTTCATGTAAGAGTCTTATAACCTGGGACCTTTGGGGAATACTGGAATGGTGACTTCCAGGCTGTTGACAATGATTGAAACCTTTGTGCCAAGTATGTGATTTAAAGATGGCTCGTGTGACTGGAGAACATGGGGAGAGTTCAGGTGGGGAAAATTACAGCTAAGTAAATTTCAAATGAAATAAAAATAAAATAAAAAAATTTTCAAATGAAATTTTTAGAAAGGCAGTCACATGCTAAAAAAATTAAGAAAAATTCTTCCTAGATTGCTAGAAGGAAAAAAAGGCTGGTCTATAGCGGCAGTATCAGGGAGATGATTTTGCTGGGGAAGGTCTGGACTGGGTCCATAATTGTAGAACAGCAGGCACATGCATTTCCAGGAAATAGCACTGTTTGAAAATAAGCAGAATGTAAAAATGAACTCCAAATGGGTAACAAGGGAAAGAGAACTTGATTGGGAAGAGCTTGAATTTTCAGAACTGGAAGGATAATGCTGCCATTGATAATGAAAGAAAGCTAGGTAGTAAAACAAGTTTTGTTTTATTTACAACAAAAAAATCTATTACCTCTCACAGCTCTTGAGCCAACTGAGCTCTGCTGGACTGTTCTCATTCAGGGTCTCCTTCCTGGCTAGTCAGGCAGTGGCTGGGGCTGGGTTCGGCTGCAGCCTCACTCATGCAAATCTCTCCTTCCTGGCCTGGAAGACTTATCAGGCAGGACCTGGAGCAGCTGGGCTCCTGTCCTTAAAAGAAGTTCTTTTTTTTTTTTTTTTTTAAGATTTTTATTTATTTATTTGACAGAGACATAGTGAGAGAGGGAACACAAGCAGGGGGAGTGGGAGAGGGAGAAGCAGGCTTCCCGCTGAGCAGGGAGCCCGATGTGGGGCTCAATTCCAGGACCCTGAGATCATGACCTGAGCCGAAGGCAGACGCTTAATGACTGAGCCACCCAGGCGCCCTTTAAGAGAAGTTCTGATGGGACTAGAGGAGTTTATAATGTTTAGTTTTAAGTAACAGGAGAAGCATTAAAAGGAGATGACAGGGAAGAAAAAAACCTCTTCTGAGGACATGGTTACAAATATGGGTTTCACCCACTTACACATGGGTGATAATTGAAGAGGCCAGCCCATGGATATTTACTTGACCCCCAACACTGATATAACTGGTGTTTATTCCATCCAACAAAGACGAAATAGTAGAGTGTGGCATGGCTCTTGACAGTGCGGCATAGTATCTATAAACACACAAACCTCCGTCAGTTTACGACCAAATCCTGACACTACCATTTGCCTGTTTGGTGACCTGTTTGGTCAAGTCACTCAGACTCCCCAAGCTTCTGTTCTTATCTACAAAGTGGAGATAATAGAACCTATATTGTGAGATAGTTACAGGAATTAAGTTTAATAATGTCCATAAAGTATTTACACAGTGGCACATACTCACTAGTGACCACTATTACCATTTTTACTAGTTCTAGTATTATTAGCCTTGGTTCAAGGTTTTATGGGAATAAAAAGAAAGAAAACAGACCTGACTTGTGGCAAAATACTTTCAGCCCTGCCAACCTCCTCTTATACTCTCCTGTGTTCTGCCCCGGCTCTTAGGGTTTTCATATTGCTCTAAGCCCTCTATTACAGTGTTCTTAGCATTGCATCTGGGGAAGCAAGCCTGGCCTAGCCACACTCCAGTATTATTTGGCTTCTCCCCTGACAGACCTTTGCTCCAAAAACATATTCCCTTGTGTAGCTGAGGGAAGGAAGCAGATCAAATAAATCTGTAAGATATGAATAACTGATTGTCTCATTGTGTCTTCTAAGGATATTTGTGTTCTTGTAAAGGACCTTTCAACCCAAGTGACCAATTTATTGTTTGTTGTTCCACTTAATGCTGGGCTTCAGGACAGAAAAGGAGGAAAGTCTGTTTCATACTAAGATCAGTTTGGAACATGCTGGGTTAAACTCCAAGGCAAGTGCCTTCACTATAGGACTTCCTACGGCCTAACATATACTACGTAAATCTCCAAGAAAAGGGATATACTGTGTAGCATTTCACAAGCATATATAATAAATCCATAACAGCCAGAGGGACAGTGTTCTAGGGGACACTTGTAGATATTGTGAAAGGCAGTATTTTAGGATGAGAAGTCTAGCAGGTAAGTGGCAGATTCTAGGTGGATATTTCCAGGAATTTCTTCTCAGCAAATCATGCTAATGATAGCTTCATTCTTTTGTACTTTCGAGCTATGGAATCTCTTTGAAGACTCCAGGATTTTTTTTTTTACCAAATTAACACGGTTTACTGACAGAAACACATTGGGTGCTGTTTGTACGCATCAGCCATTTATATATTGGGCGTTTATAAACTGGGGCTGCCTGTATGTAAATGGATTTTCTGCTATAAATAGTGATACACTTATAGTCTTAAAGCATGAAACTATGTTTTTAGTTTGTTAAAAATAGATCATTTTCTAAATAATGAGAGGAATACAATATTTTAAAACAACAAAAAATTTAAGTTGAAATAAAGGCATTATAGTGTCATCCCCTAATTTTGTTATTTCCTTAAATCCTTGGTTGTATCAGAAAATGTTTTTCAAGGATAACAAAGACTTAACTTTCTTATGAATACTTAGTAAACCTTTCATGTTAACAGTGTAATTATGCCTGTACTAGACTATAAAACTTTTTTAAACTATAATTATTTGTTTACATTACCATCGTATGTTTAATTTTATTGCCATTAAGGAAGACATCTATGTTTGGTAGAAACCACCAAAGAGACATCATAGTAACATAGTGAATAAGTGTTCACCGGCCATGAAAGACTAATGTCTTAAATCACGTAATAAAGTTATTTTTGTGTTTTAATTTCCACATCCATTAATTTCTAATGTTATGTAAAACATGCTTTTCTGAGCCCTTATACAATGGGAATCTTGTTACCTGATGGATCCTAATAGGCCTCAGCAGTATGAACCCTGTACCACTTGCATGTAACTAACACTAAGGAGTGCAAAGAATCACTATTTTGTGACCGCCAACAGTGCATGGGCCGTAAGAATGCATTTGAAGAAATTCATGTTGTATAAGGGAGCCTTTTCTGCAATTTAACTTGGTTCTTTTACTATATTTTCTTCTCTTTTTATTCCTTTAATTTGTGTTGTTTTAAATACCGCACCCAAGATGCCTTTGCAGCTTCTCCCGGGGAGGCCCCTGCAGCATCCGAAGGGGCCGCCGCGCCAGCAACCCCAGCCCCCGTAGCCGCCGCACTTGATGCATGCTCAGGAAATGGTGGGTCGATAGTCACGAGCAAGTCTGTTGTTTTCTCTGTCTCGATGTGAAACTCCCGTAGTGAGATGTGGCCATATGTTTTTCTGACTTTAATTTCTTCTGAGGATAAAGGATCATTCATCATAACTGAATCAGTAGCGCCGGCACTTAAAACATTAAGACGACCAAGTGCATACTTATCAAAATTGACAATTTCTCAAGATTGACAATTTTTGTCAGTGCAAGTATGCTCTCTTAATGTTTTTTTGGTCCCCTCCTGCTGGATTGTACTCTTCTGTAGCGCTGAGTTCTACTATATAGGCATGTTTTAGTGAATTTTCAAAGCTACCAAATTGCCCAGATTGAGGATTTGAAGAACAATCTCTAATCCTAGACCGTAGGCTAATCTTACATTGAAGCATTTTAGCTTTTTAACTTGTGTTACCTACTAAATTTTCTTTTTTTTTTATTTAGAAAAACATCTTAATCACTGACCATTGCTAATAGGATAGTAGTTCAGTCCAGGCAGCCTAATGCCTAGCTAGTGTGTGAATATCTGCGTAAGGTGTCTCTTACCCATAGTTATGATGCCTCTCTCTCTCTCTCTCTCTCTCTCTCGTCTCTTTCCTTACTGATGCTATATGTGTGTCTCCACCTTCCTTTTCCAAAAGACCCCTTTGCCCCGTCTGAAGGTAGTGCAGAGGCTGCACCCGAGCTGGACCTCTTTGCAATGAAGCCACCTGAGACCAGTGTTCCTGTAGTTACCCCTACAGCTAGCACAGCCCCTCCGGTTCCTGCCACTGCTCCTTCTCCTGCTCCCGCTGTCACAGCTGCCACCGCAGCCACCGCCGCCCCCGCCACCACCTCAGCCACCGCCACCGCTGCTCCTCCTGCTCTAGATATCTTTGGTGGTAATGTTTTGTTGTTGTTAAACTCTCTCCATCGGGTGGATTGAATTCTGGTACCCGAGATGCCCTGCACACACAGCTGTTACTGCATGACAACCGGGTCAACCCCATGCCGCTTATTTCGGAATTCTCCCCCGTGCTGATGCACAATTGGGAGGTGATGCTGTGTCAGGCTGGTTTGTCCAGTAGAGTAAAGGCATGTGTGTTCTTGGTCTTAGATTTGTTTGAGGCCCCTCCGGAAGTCGCTGCGGCGCCTAAGCCAGATGCTGCTTCTAGCATAGACCTGTTTGGTACAGGTAAAACCAAAGCCACCCCTTTTTTTTGAACATTAGTTCCCCCCTCCTCCGATGTTTTGATGACTGAACTCTTGATGCTCCCCTGTGATAATGCATTTGTTAGATATTGAACTTTGATTTCCGCTTTCTACTTACCTCTGCTTGGTTTTGGTTTGTTTCACTTTGGGAAGACGCTTTCTCCTCTCCACCACAAGGGGCCTCTCCTGTGCCTGAGAGCTCTCTCACTGCTGACCTCTTATCCGGTGAGTGCTTCTGCCAAGGCCAAGCCTTCTCAGATGTCTGGTGGGGGTTGTGTGTGCAGAGGCGGACACGAAGACATGCAGGTTTGTCTGGAGTTCTTTTAAACTCAAAATTCACTTGGAAAAGAAAAAAAAAATCTCATTTTGGCCCATCACCAACTGATGAGATTCATAATTTCCAATCTAATGCTGGTGAAAAGAGACAACTTCCCCCCCGCCCCACGCTAAAACCTCTGAGTTCAAGAAGTCAAATGTTATTTTCTTTGGGAGAGTGTATATTTTTAAATCCATTTGCTTTGTCTTAACTTAATGTTTTGTCTTAACTGTTAAGACTGTCTGCGATCTTACTGCCCGTTGTTAAACATGAAATCCCAGGAAGCCATCTGTTAAGGCTCATGCATGGCTTTATTTTCCCTTGGGTGACATGCGATTTTTCCTGTTGTGTGCTTCACTGCAGTGGATGCATTTGCAGTACCGTCTCCTGCAACCACTGCCTCTCCAGCAAAGGTGGATTCTTCAGGCGTGATAGACCTTTTTGGGGGTGCGTACCTCTCCTCCTTCAACATGTAAACAGTCTTTATTTTTTTCCTCCCTCAGAACAGTTTCTACATCTTCTCTTTTGTTATATTCCATCATTCTTTCTTTTGACTCTGAAGTTATTTCCATCTCTTAACTGTAAACTTAAGTTTTTAAGATCTTTCCCATTGCTTTGCCATCATCATCTTCATCCTCATCAGTTCATCACAATTTTCAATGCATGGCCTAACAGAACCAGATCATTTTTCATTCAAAGTCTTTGTGTTTTTAACTTTCTGTGCATCCTAATGTAGAATCAGCTGGTTGGAATTTCCTTCTACTGTTCTTCCTTGGTGAACCTGATCTGTTGGCTAAATCGGCATTTCTAAGTTCTTAAAAGCAATATAAACGTTAACTAGATAATTTAGAATTGAAAACAAGCCAGTCGAAACTGAAAACATAAGCTGTACAGCCATACATTATTCTGTAGGGTTTATTGAGCTTAATGTTTTAAAATCTTTCCAGAGAACTAGAAGATGTTTCACTGGTTTAAATGTATTTTCCTCTTGCTTTATATGTTATCTGAAGGCAGGGAGATGTACTGAATTAACTCTTGCACTACTCATTAGGGTGATGCATTTAAAGTCATTTAGTAGCAGTAAATTTATAGGGAAAAGTACAGGTTTGAAGTGATTTCTTCATGAACATCCACAAATGTGTATGCCACAGGCTAAAATGCCATTCTTAGCAAGTTAAACCACACTGAGTACCTTACCTACTGTATGTGGAAGCATCATGGTATGTGCCATGAGGGGTACAATGGTGTCACAGTCTCTGACATTCAGAGCTCAAAACTTGTGGCAAATAAACACTGAACTCTGATAAATGGGTACAAGTGGAGCTGTTGCTGCTGCTTGAATTAAGTCTGTTAATTTTTTTTCTAACTTTAATAGAGTTCTAAATGGGAAAATTCCATTGTAATTGCCTTCGGGCAAAATTTTTTAAACCTTGGTCCTATTTTAAGAGATGTCAGGATTTAGTCCAAAACTTTTATTTTTTAAAAAAGAATTGTCTTACAAAGGGGTGTTAATCTGAAATATTCTAGAACTCTTTTTTGAAAGTATAAACTGGTCAGAGCATAATTCAGCTCACTCAATCATTTCAGTTATCCCACAGGTGACAAGCTCACCAAACAGTGTCATGTCTATGCATTTCTTGGCAAAACACTTAATTTACTTACGGTACTTACTGTTTACATTCTTTTACTTTTTTGCTGCACAATGGATAATGGGTAGATGCATTTGGAAGTAGTGCTTCTGAACCCCAACCTGCACCTCAGGCTGCTTCTAGTTCTTCAGCATCGGCAGACCTACTAGCTGGTAATTAATTAAATTAAAATAAAATGGTATTTTGTGGAAGTTTGGCTATATCTTTATAAGTAACATATGTAAATTTCACAGTGCATGTTTTCTTTCCCTTTTGAGACATAAAATTGAAAAACAAGACACTGTCTGATAGAAGGTTACTTCCTAGGATTTTATTAAATGAGTATTAAAATCACAGTCGTATACAAGTCACCCCTGTGGTTCCTTGGATGCTCCTAAATGCCTTACTTTTGGTTAGCCATTTCTTTTTGTTTACTAAAAAAGTAATGTGCTTATGTAGTGAATTTTATCTTGTATTGCCTGTGCCCATTTTTTAAGGAATTTCTGTGGAAAGATACCATTATGTTTGACAATTGATTCTGTAGCATGAATCACTCTAGGAGAAACTGTCAGATTTCTACCGGGGTTGAAGTTGCTGCTACCTGTGCCACTTTTTTAACTAGTTGGGGTTTGTTGTGTTTTTTTGTGTTTTGGGGGGGTTTTTTTTGTTTTTGTTTTTGTTTTGTTTTAATCTGAAAACCTCTAGAGAGAGATCCCAGTTCAACAAGGACATAGTGTGGCGTAGTCTGGTACAAGATGCCTAGGATTAATGGCCAGGATGGGATAGATAAAATAAAAGGGAACATTTCAAAGACTCAAAGATAGTAAAAGTCAACTATCAGTCTTCCCTGGAGGCTGGGCAAAGAGTGCTTGATGATGGCTGGATCGAGAAATTACTGTTTTTACAGGCAAAGCATTTGCCATTTGCAAGACCACAATCGTATGTTTTCAGGCTCAGGTTATCAGTCAAACTCACAAGACACTGCTGGCTTACCTCACCCTGACTTTACTGAGAAGGGGACGCAGCAGGAAGTGCGGTGGTGGCCTCACAGAGGCCTCAGATACTCAGATGCAGCTTCCAGTGCCCCTCCCCAGTCACCACAAGGGATGCATTTTGGTCATAAGGTTGGCAGGGGACTGATGAGAGTGTGGGTCACGTTGGCACAAGGAAGTTGCCATGTTCGGAGTCTCTCAGTTTAAATTTCCTGCTTTTCATGTTACCCTTGAAAGAATTAGCGGCCGGGTCTTATTTTTTCATGTAGTGAACGGTCCTGGCCAGCTACGGCAGGCACAGAACATTCATTCCTGGATTAGTAATGCATGATGGCCTCACAAAAGGACCCTTGTCACCTTTCAGTAGTGTAGGAAGTTTGGTATGAGGTCCAGTCTTCTCTCAAGAGGCCGGCAAGGTTAAGCACAGCCCAGCCGCTACCCTCCCCTTCCATCGGTCATTCAGACTGGCTATTTGGCTGTCTTTTTTTTTTTTTTTTTGAAGATTTTATTTATTTATTTGACACAAAGAGAGAGCACAAAGCAGAGGGAAGCGGCAGGCAGAGGGAGAAGCAGGATCCCCACTGAGCAGGGAGCCCAACTCGAGGCTCAATCCCAGGACCCTGGAATCATAACCTGAGCCGAAGGCAGACGCTTAGCCGACGGAACCACCCAGGCTCACTGGCCATCTTTCTTAGGAGCAACAGCGGTTCATCTGTGTCTGTCCTCTCCTCTCCAGACTACCCTGGCTAAATATGACACTCCTGGTTGTTGAATCCACTTCATACCGGTGACTGCCAGCTGGTATTTTCCTGAATGGTGAAGAACCAGGGTTCCACTGTAATGTCACTGTGGACTTTGGAAGCTGCAAATACGATAAGAGGCAGGGCACTTAACACAAAACACAGTTGGTTATTTGGAGAAAAAATACTAGCTTACCTGGCTTTTCTCCTGGCCTGGGTGTTCTTCATTGCGGCTTCAAATTGATCACTTCAGGCTCTTACAAAACCAATAACCTTAATTCAGGTTTTCAAGATTCAGCAATAGGTTTTTAACAAGCCACAGAAATAGCATAGTTTTAAATGGCTATTTGGGGGAAATGACCTTGTCAATTTCAAAATGAGATTACTGATTATAAGCCTTTGGCTTTGCAGTTATAATTAAGGTTGAGATGGCATATGAAATCAAATGTTCTGGCTTTTTGCAGAGTTCTAAGAAGTCTCTCTTTCTCTCTGGGTTACACAGACCCCAAAGAGGGGTTGTAAGCCTATCAGACACAGCCTGGAAGGAGCCTGGTCCACCATGTTGAGCATTTCCAGGGCTGCAAACCTCCCTGTGCTTCCAGGGCTGAAACCTCAGATCTTGTGTTTCCAAAAAAGCCAAAAGCAGTGAAAGTAGGTGCAGAGAGGCCCGTCAAAGCCTGTGGGAAAAGACAATGTTCCTTTCCAATTCAAAGTCAGAAGTCAGTGGCAGAGCCAAGAGATTTGCTCCTTGGGGTGAGATAGGGTCTAAAACACATCTGGAGCAAACAGGAAGAGTTTTGTCACCTACTGCCAAGTGCAACATCGGGGACCTGAGCCTCAGCTGCACAGCTTTGAGGTCCAAGCAGGGAAGTACACAAAAAGTATAGGTTAGAACACTTTACCAAAAGCAAGCTTAAAATTGCTCAATTGTGTTGTCCATCCTGAAATCTTAGTAAAATGGGAGAGAAAAGGAGAAAATTAGTGATGAAAGTGACCTTGTCATTTACATAGGTTTTACTGACTGTACACTTCCCATTTTTTCCACCACATCATCTTGTGACTTTTTTAGTGATGGGAAAGTATTTTGTGCACCTTTTCTTCTTTCTCTGTTTTTTTATTAAATAAATTAATTTTAATATAAGTAGGAGTGAATGGGTTTAATGTCTAGCTTGCTTTACAGACAATTTTTATAATTTGTACATATCTGAGTCTGATTTACATGGCACGAGGCCAACTATTCTTTTACCTTATATCCTGATACAAGAGATTTTAAATTCTAATTTCTCTAGGTCTTAATTATTTGGGCTAGTTTTTCATACTTCTCTCTGTTCTGCTTATAGAAGAATATTTCTCATCCTTGTTTAGGTAACAAAACAGCAAGAATCCGTCTTCTCATTGAAGAATATCATGGAATATTAATATAATCTTATACTATGAGCTAGAAGCAACTTTCCTAGCCAGAAAATCCTGCTAATGTACACAGTATAAAGTCCCAGTCACATTTATATATTTAATCTAGCTGACAGTGGCTATTTCATACATTTCTGTTGAATGAATATCAATGGTAGAACAAATATTTGGTGCACTGTGCTATGGTAATTTGCAATGAAGCTTAACGTGTGTTATACTTTTGTGTGTATCTATGGGGAGAGAACAGTTAAGTCCACAAGCTGTTGAAATAAAGAGGAAGTTGTTTGTTTTTTTAAAGATAAATGAGTCCAATCATAGATAAAAAGGAAGTCCACAAATATCAGGTTCAAAGTAGGAGTTTGAACTGAAAAAAAGAGAGAGAGAAAGTTATATTCTGTGAGTCTTTAAAGTCTTCTGTTATTGGCTTTTAGTAATAAGACTATTTTGTGGGAGAATAAAAAGGAAAAATAATACACATACACAGTAATGGAAGGTATAGACTCTCTAAAAGTAACGTTGGTTGCTGAACAGGGGCTCTTGTTCCTCAAATTTTTTTTGAGGGGATCAATTTACATATATGTAACAAGGGAAATGTGATAAATTGATTTTTAGAGGTTTTTCAACCGAAAATTAAGAATCATCTCAAAATTGGGGAAGAAAGCTTTGTCAAAATTGGTATAATTTAAAACTAGAAAACAAAGACTAAATGGATAGTCTTTTAAATTGGGCATATATCTCATAAAAAGTGGTTATTCTTCTTTATTCAAATTTACTTCTAGAACTCTCAAATAATACCAATTCCAGAATTGAACTGTGTATGAAATATCATCTTAGTCATCTTCTACCCCTTGAGTAAAAATTTCACGTTCTGTTTGGTGTACCCAAAGTGGTGAAACTAGAGAATATTCTAGAAAAGACATCTGTTTTGGCTAATGAGAACAGACTCAAAGAATAATTCTTTCCAAATCTTTGAGATTATTGGTAGGATACAGATATTCTCCATATCTCAAGTGAAGTCTGACTAGAAACTTGAAAGTTAAGTTTGTGTCAAATAAAAGGAAATACTATTTCATACAGTGAAGAATAAAGCTCTCAAACTTCTCTTCAGGTACACCAGCTAAAAACTTAGATGTTTGAAATATATAGATTACTGGATGACAGATGTAAAAATGGATTATTAAGGGAGATTAGATGTATTATGCCTAACTTCTGAGGTTGACATCAAACAGGAAAACCATGTTCTCCAATAATAGACACAATTCTGGGGTGACTGCACCATAGATTTGCACTAGTATAGGAATGTGCCACATCCTATCTTTAATTCCAAAGGCAGGGAATAATATGGGCCAGTCTCATGAGGCCCTTTGTAGTTTTGCATTCTCTGTTAACCAAATGACACAGATGACTTTTTAGCAGAGCCACAGAGGTCTTTGAACTGATTTAAAATATAAAAATGATCAGTGTGGAGTTAATAACTAATAATATCCACTGAATGGGAAGATCTACAGAGAACCAATTCTTTCATACTCTGGGGTGGGGGGAGCAGTTTGAAATGTGTCAGACAAAAGGGTATTAGTTCTAGAAATATTGACTATCTCAGATTGATCTTAGTAAATGGAATGTATTAACAGCGGATTATATTACAGAGCAATTGAGATGACATCATCTTTTACATAATGGAACGAATCTGAGTGTGGAGGTGGTATGTGTGGGAGTGTGTTTATCTACCAGTGGTTTTAAAATTTCACCTTCCTGACCCAAGTGATATGTTATATCAACTATGACTGTCAGTTTTGATATGTCTGTTAATAGAACTTCCTTAAGTGTGTCGGCTGTTCCCTTTAGGAAGATAGATTCATAAGACTACCTGTGACAAAAGGCAGTGTATCTGTAGATGGTTGAGCACTTGAAGGGAGATGGCGATTTAGTTACAGTGTAAGACAGTCCAAATATGCCTGTAGGATATCCGGAAGCCTACTGATTGTTACCTTCAATTCCATAGAACATCTTCCTTAATATAATTTAGAACCGTATAGAAAGAAAGAGTAGTGGTTTGGGTTTTCGTATTACTTACCTCTATTCCAGGACTCTAAAACTTTTCATTTAACAGGAGGAGTTTACCTTATTAATGTCTATAATTTTCTTATTTAACCCTTCATTCAGAGTATAGCAATAGGTTTTTTTTCTTTAAGACAATCAGTTGGTTATTTTATATCACTTATAGCTTTTTAATTAGTCTAGATTTGTGAGGGAGGCACCTACTTCATAAGAACTGAGTGTAATGGGGAAAAGTCATCTTTCTAGATCTCTGTCAGTTTATAAGCCTGCAGGAAGAGTACAACTCTGGAGTCATTCCTGGCTATGGAAAAGAGGCCATGCAGTATTGCGGTGAAAAACGCAAGCTCTGGAAGATTGCTGTGTGGAATCCTTGCTCTCATTTGCCATCATTTCACCTTGGGCAGATTATTTAACTTCTCTAGCCTCAGCGTTTTCATCTGTAAAACTTCACAGAGTTGTGAGGATTAAATGAGCTAATATATGTTTTGGTTTGAACAATATAAACCTCCTGTTTTTGTGGGACCAAAATGGTCAAATATTAGCAATCCATATGGTTCATAAGGTTCAACCTAAAAAAAAAATGCTTAGAATTGTGACCCTGGTGGTACGTGGTGAGCCTCATGCCAGTGTTGGCTTTACCCTTCACTTTCTTAGAGAAGTCACTAATTTTTTTTCATTATTCACCTATGGACGTGATCTACTTATCTTATGAAACTCAGTAGTACTAAGCAGATGAGCCTTGTGTAAATGCCTGTTTTTCTGTCACTGAATCCTGGGTGGATATGTTACCTTCCCTTTGCATCGCATCCCTTTTTCCAGTCATGGAAAGATAGGATTGAATCAGATGATCGGAAGGCTTTTTCCAACACTAATATGCTGTGATTCTAGAATAAATTGTCTCTTCTTGGTCAAGTTTTAAGAAACTGAGAGTCAAGAACAGTTGTGTCCACATTCACCTATAACAAAGAGAACCACACCGTAGAAAAATTGCCTAAATTAACCACAGCCATATTCCAACTTGAGGTGTGGGATGTTTCCCAAAAGTCAGCTTTAACACAGCCATCAGTCTCCCTAAAACCAAACAATCCCATCCACAGAAATACTTCTAGCCCATTTTTGCTTCATAATATTAGTTCTTAAAGATCTGGAGAATGTCTTTTCTTCAGTTAAGAAAGTTACATAATGCCTATGTCACTAAAATACTAAAATCACTTCAGGGTAGCCACTGTGAACTTTAAAGACCATCCTCTATTAGGTAACTTTTCCAGATTGCATTTTTTTTTCATACATATACAAGAAAAGCCTAAATTTGTGTCATTATCAGTGTCTGGGAGCAACATGACTTGAACATTATTGCCTGCTTTAGAAAACAGTAGCCGGAGAATTTCAGTGGAAGTCATTTTCAGGCTTATAAATGAGTTCTATAGAATAAGGATTTTTTTTTAAGCATTCTTTATGTTTTTGCAAGCAGTTTGTGAACAAGAAGATGTGGCTAGATTAGAAAGGAATATTTATACCCAAACTGAATATAGAAAAGACTCCTGGAAGTAACAAATTCTTTGGTAATAGAACATCTTCCACTGCCTTACTGAGAAATTGCTGCCTTCACTGGTTGCGTGTTTTATACAGAAACAGTACAGAGTGAGCTTTGCTTCTGCTTCTATCTGTCGTTTGAGAGAAATTATTTGCTTCCAGCCTTCAGAAGATAAATAATTTGAAGGCTGGTTACTTTACAATGGTATTTGATTTCTCCCCACCTTTTATATTTAGAAGTATCTTTATTCAGTAAATATTAATTCAGTGTTTTAGGCATTGTGCTGAATATTAGTTAAAAACAGGAGAAGACACAGTTCCTGACACCAAAAAGCCATCCCTGGAGCAGAGGCTGGGGATGGAAATAAGGACGTGTGATGGGAATGGGATGGAGCTGTGTATCAGATGCGGAGGACACAAGAGCAGAGCATGTAACTCACACATATATGCAGTGGGAGGGGCGGGCAGAGCTGTGGCTAATAGCAGTGGGTGACAGTTTCAGTCCAAGAGGCCCTCCTGGAGTGGGCATCTGACTCCCGGTGATGGTGTTAGGGATGCAACCTAGTTTTCAGGCAGGGGAACAGAGACAGAAGAACTTGATTGCTATACAAAGGAATCTGTATTATATGAATCTGAAAGTTACGGAGAGCCAGTGAAGGACGTTAGAGAAGTAACTTTGCCAACGTTTTCTACTCAGAAAGATCACTCGAGCTGCACGGCAGAGACTAGATTGGAGGAAGTCCAGACTAGATGCAGGAAGCCCCTCTGGGTAGATGTTTATAAATCCTGAGAACTGATCTGGGGGAGCCCACATTTAGCAGGAGCAGCAATGGGACTAGAACATGTATGAAAGTTATTAAGGAGGATTTGGTGACAAAGTGCATGCATATTTTTCTGATTTGTATTTTATTATTATACTGAGCCAATGTGTACAACTAAGCATTTTCTAGCTATCCAGTATTGTGCTTTGAAGAAACAAAATTTTGATATAATGAAATTATCTCAGTTTTAACCCTAGTGAGACTTTTTAGCTTTACATAGCTAGGTCCATTGTAATAATAGACTTGGTTGCCACAGGTTCTCTTAACAAGAGTATATATTCTTAAGTGCTATCTTGTTTCTAATGAACTTCGATCTCATTAAGGCATGACAAAACTGGCCGTTCCCAGAGGGGAGGTAGGGGAGGGGTGTGAAATAGCTGATGGGGATTAAAGAGTATTTATCATGATGAGCACTGAGTCATGTATCGAGTTGTTGATTCACTGTACTGTACACCTGAAACATTAGTGTAACACTGAATGTTGTACTTGATTTTAAAAACTAAATGAAAATCTTTTAAAAATACATGACAGATACCAAGGCACATGACAAACTTTTAAAAAACTAACTTCCCAGTTTTACTGACTTCTCATCTATCTACATGCATTCAGTCCCTCCTCAGTCTCCTATAATCCGTCCTGTTTTCCTGGCCTTTACCTACCTTTAGTTGTTTCTGCTTATATTTCTGAAACTGTGTTTTTCCCAGGATTTGGGGCTTCTTTTATGGCCCCTTCTCCATCACCAGTGACTCCAGCTCAGAATAACCTGCTACAGCCCAACTTTGAGGCAGCTTTTGGAACAACACCTTCAACTTCTAGCAGCAGCTCCTTTGATCCGTCAGGTGAGGCAGTGATTTTCAAATGTTCTTTTCCTTTTTTCTGATTGTGCAATAGCCCACCTAAGGTTAGTATGGTATCAGGAAGCTTACAAGCAGATATTGAGTGGTGACCTGGTTTTAAAACTTTAGTAAGTCTCTTACTCTGTATTTTAGGTAAATATTTTCAGTACATTTTGGAAGATTTAAGGATAACCTGTAATCCTTTTCTGTGTTTCTGTTTTAATTTTTAGCAGAAATCTAACACCACACACACCATCTGTTTGCATGAGCTTCCATGCACATGGTTTAGAGGTGGTTAAGGGAAAACAAACACTTTATGCAGTATCTGAATGTGTGGACACTCCCACTGCTATTGCTTACACCCTCTGAAGCTTGCATGGCCCTCAGTTTTATGAAGTTGGGACACAAGTAGTATTCTTTGCCTGCCTTTAATCTTTCATCCTGCTGTCATTTTGTTTGTATTCTCTTCCATTCTACTCTTCCCATGCTGGGTCCTTACTACAAATTTTCAATTGGTGAGTTTTTGGCAATTAAATGTGTTTCAGAAAACACCCTAAATATATTCCCCTCCTGACAATTTGGTTGCTTCTATTGCCAGTGCTGTCTTTTTCCAATTTAGAATTATTGTACAGTAGTGTTGATGATAAATGTTCAAAGTTTTTTAATGAAAATTAACCACAAAAATTTTGACGTGGATAAGATATTAACACCAATTAATGCAAATCTTCTGAGTCTGTATTTTGAATGGTCTTTCTGTATTCTAGGAACTAAGCAAGTTGGTAATTGGTTATATAGTGATCAGGAACCATCAATAACAGCATGATTCCCAATAGTTAAAAGAGTTTTCCCTTTAAACATTCCTTTAAAGTTAGAACCGAAATTGACTGCTTATAATGAAGGGGGGGTCAAAATTTTTACTTCTAAAATATGGTCAACTGTTTTTCAGATACTTATTACTACATCCTGCCCATTAGATCAGGTTTTATTCCAACACTGACTTCATAGGAAACCAGGAGATCCAGCCTTCTTTTCTCATTTAAGAATTGTTTTTAAAGATAAGCATTATAGAGAAAAAAGATAAGCATTGTAGGATCTGAGAATAAATTACTTGGGCTTTGCTGTAAATTACTACCATTTTCAATAGAAAGTATTTCAGCGGTTGTTTTTAATAAGCGTGTCAGTGGCTACCACTTACTGTATAGAGCAAGCATTATAATAAAGACATATATATTATCTAATTTAATCTTCACAACAAAACCATGTGGTAGTAGTACCCTCCCCATTTATACAGATAGAAAACTAAAGCTCAGGTGGTAACTTTCTCAAAGTCACACAGCTAGTGAGGCATGCAACTAAATTTGAGCCTAATTCCAACCCCAAAATCTGTGCTCTTTCCTGTACATTACGCAGTTTTTTTTCCATCTTTGTTTACTAGTATTTCTGTACTTTATGAGTAGACATAGGTAGAAATGTTCTTCTTGGTGTTATAGTCATAAAAACGTATGGATTACATGCCCTCTTTTGTAAGATTGTATATTCATTTGTTTTATCGTTTTTCAGAAAATAATTTCCCTTTAATTTTGCATATGGCCTTTTTTTTTCCCCCAGTCATTCTGAACCTGGTCTATTTGATTTCCAGTGTTTGATGGTCTAGGTGATCTACTGATGCCAACCATGGCACCAGCCGGGCAGCCTGCACCCATTTCAGTGGTACCCCCCAGTCCAGCTATGGCAGCAAGCAAAGCCCTTGGGAGTGACCTTGACTCATCTCTTGCCAGCTTAGTAGGCAGTGAGTAATACAGTTTTTGTTTTGATTTGTTTTTTACTGCATCATATGCGATTTTTTTTCTCTATCTCTTTATGTGTATTTTTTTCTGGATTCACTTGTGGGTGAGTATATCAAGGAGTGGACAGAAATTCTTAGTGCCTTACCCAGTACAGTTCCTTGGAAGATGAACAGTTGCTGTGCCATTGTCTCACAAGCTGTCCCCATGCCATTTTTAATCTAAATTACTACAGGTATAATTAGCATATGAAAGTGTGAAACCAAGTGCATTATGTATAATAAGTACGTAATTTTTCATTTCGTTTGGAAATAAGAACATAGAGTAACTTAAATATTGACAATTGAGCATCCATGTGAATTTTTTTTAAAGATTTTATTTATTTATTTATTTGACAGAGAGAGACACAGTGAGAGAGGGAACATAAGCAGGGGGAGTGGGAGAGGGAGAAGCAGGCTTCCCGCTGAGCAGGGAGCCTGATGCAGGACTTGATCCCAGGAAGGCAGACGCTTAACCGACTGAGCCACCCAGGTGCCCCCATCCATGTGAATTTAAGTTACTCACTGAACAAGTATTTATTGAGTACCAAGCACTCTTCCAGGTTCTAAAGATAAATCAGCAAATAAAATAGGTATAAATTTCTGTTCTTAGGGTACTCAGCAAGGGGAGAGACAAACAAACATTTTCAAATAAATTCTATAGTATGTTAGGTCTTATAAGCACTATGGAGAAGAAACAGACCAGGCAAGGAGGAATTGGGAATGCTGCAGAGTGGGAGTTAGAGTAGGCCTCACTGAGAAGGTACAATTTGAGCCAAGATTTGAAGATAAACGGATGAGCCACATGGATATCTGAAGGAGAATATTTGCAGGCAAAGGAGACAGCCAGTGCAAAGGCACTGGGGCAGAAAACTGCCTGGCATGTTCAAGGAACAACAAAGAGACCAGAGGCTGGAGATGGGCAAGTGAAGGAGAGAGTCCTAGGAGATGAGGGCAGCTGGTATAAAGATTGACCTTTTCTTTTTAACTCTGAATTTGATTCTTCATTAAGGTGAATGGGTTCACCATTGCAGATACCTTTCACTTTTCTCAAGGCTTTAGAAGGTCCTTGATACAGACTTTTTTTCCTATGAATTATCCAATGGACATACTTTTGCTTCCCATTCATTGTTCCTTGTCTGGGCATCCATGAAAATGCTTTGATGACACCCATGGAGAGGTTATTTGAGTATTTGTTCCTACTCTAAAATTTCATCTCACTGAAGGATGGTTGCCAGTAGTAACTGCTTTTGCTGGCACTCCAATGTATCATCCAGATTCTCCTTTAGAAATAAAGGATTTATACCTCTAACTGCTGAGAGTGCATTTTTTATTGCAAATGGTAGCAAGAGAGAATATTTTTGAGTAATTAAATTGCTATGTGTCCTGATTATAGTAATGATTACATGAATTCATATATTTATCAAAATTTATAGAAATGTAACAACTCACCTCCCCCCCAAGAAAACACTGATTTTCACTATAGGTAAACATTTTTTTAATTAAAGTATCTTCTGGGGCGCCTGGGTGGCTCAGTCAGTTAAGTGTCTGACTCTTGATTTCAGTTCAGGTCATGATCTCAGGGTTGTGGGATCAAGCCTCACGTCACTTAGGATTCTTTCTCTCCCTCTCTCTCCCCTCCCCACCCCTCCCTCTTGTGCTCTCTCTCTCTCTAAGATAATAATAATAATAAATAAAATAATAATTAAAATACCTTCCAAAACTGAAAAAAATTATCTACATACTCCCTACCAATATTCTAGTTTGCTTTTTTACAGAAATTGACAAGCTGAACCTAAAATTCATATGGAAATGCAAGGAGGTCAGAAGAGCCAAACACTCTAAATAAAAAAGCATAACCTTGGAAGACTCACACTTAATGATTTTAAAACTTACTACAAAGCTATAGTCATTAAGTGGTACTGCTGCATAAGATAGGCATATACCCCAATGGAATAGAGTGACAGTCTAGAAATAAACTTATACATCTGTGCTCAATTGATTATCAACAAAAGTGCCATGACAGTTCAATGGGAAAAGAGTTGTCTTTTCGACAAATGGTGCTGGGTCAGCTGGATATCCACGTGCAAAAGGATAGAGTTAGGTATCTTGCCTACTCTAAAATAATTAATTCACAGTAGATGAGAACTAAATGTAGGAGCTAAAACTATAAAACTCTAAGAAGAAAATGTATTAGTAAATAAATCTTCATGACCTTGGATTGGGTAATGTTCTTGATATGACACCAAAAGCACAAGCAACAATTGATAAAAATGGATAAATGGAACTACGTTAAAATTAAAAACTTCTGTGATACAAGTGACACTATCCAGAAAGTGAAAACTAACCCACAGAATGGGACAAGGTATTTGTAGAACATATATCTGATAAGGAACTTATACCCAGAATGAAGAATTCTTACAACTCAATAATGAAAAGACAAATAACCCAATTTTAAAATGGTCAAATGATTTAAATAGACATTTCTCCAAAGAATATAGACATGTGGCCAATATGCACATGAAAAGAGGCTCCACACCGGTCATCTGGGAAATGCATATCAAAACTGCATGACATATCACTTCTCACCCATGAGGATAGCTATAATTAGAAAAGACAATAACTAGTGTTGATGAGAATGTGGAGAAAATTGAAACTCTCTAACATGGCTGGTGAAAATGTAACTGTGGAAAGCAGTTTGGCAGTTTCTCCAAATGTGAAACAGACTTACCCGTAGGCAGAGAGTGCTGCACATGAGTAGCCTAGAAAGCTCTTCCACCACACCTCTGCTCAACTTTGCTCAAATCTCACCTTCTCCATGAGGCTTCCCTGAGCACCCCATTTAATGCTGCCTGCCCCTCACCCTCATCCTACCTGACCACATCCCTCGTACCCTACCCTTCCTTTGCTTTTTCCCATGGGCTTTCCTATCACCTTCTAGGGGCCTATGTAATTTATTATTTTATTGTTTTATCATCTATCTCACCCTATTAGAATGCAAATTTCTCCAGGGTTGGGATCTTCATTTTCCTCACTAATATATCCCAAGTGCTTAGAACAGTGCCTGGCATTTGTAGAGGCTCAGTATTTGCTGAAGTAATACATGAATTGAGATTAGAGTAGAATGAATAAGCCAGTTCCGGGGTCCCCAACACCACCTTCACTCAGAGATTCGCTAGGACTCACAGGACCCAGCACCTGGTTGTACTCACAGCTAAGATTTATTATAGCAGCATATTAAGGACACGCAGCTGGATCATCAGGGAAAAAGACACGGCAGAGCTTGGATGTATCCACATACCGACTTCCTTATGCTCTCCCCTTCCCATGAGGGGAAAAACATAAGAAAATGTGGCAACACGCCTGATGTTCCTGCCCGTGGAAGCCCTGTAGAGATTCCACACCCAGGGGTTTTGTTGGATGCTGATCATGTAGCTCCTCTGTGCCTAACATGTCCCAAAGTCTCAGTCTCGCAGAAGGAAAGCAGGTGTTCAGCACGAACCACATTGTTTGTACAAACAGTTTAGACACAGTAAGCCACCCTTATCGTTAGGAAAAGTATTCTCTCAGGATAGAGAACAGTTTACTAAGCTAGGGTCCCAGATGCCAGGCACATAGGCCTTTCTAAGAGAGTAGTCTCCAGCCTGCTGTGTTTATTCTTTCCTAGACACCAGTTGACATTAAATTGTGATCCTTAAGTATAACATGAAGTAAAAGAAAATGTTAGATTTCTGAACATGTTTCCTAACATAGTTTCTCCTTTGTAAAATTGAATACAGTCATTCTTAGGCAAAATATGGACTTTTTCTAGACCTCTGACTCTTTGATCTTTTAAATGTCATATCATTTAAGCTGAGTATAGAGGTTTAAATTCTGTTTTCTTTTATCCTTTTATAGATCTTGGAATTTCTGGTACCACATCCAAAAAGTAAGTGTTTTTGAAGTTTTCTGGCTTTCTTGTGACAGTGTATTTGTATTTATTTGAGACTATTAAACTCATTGGAGCAATAACTCACTCTCAGGCTAGGTAATTTCAAAATTCGTTTTTATTACATTCTGGATTTTTGTTTTTGTTGTTATTCTACTAGAACTTCCAGACTCTTGGCTCTGCAATGAAAAAGGACAATCTATTTCAGTCTCCAAGATTACCACTAAGTTAGGCTAGAAATACTTGGGAATTATGGTTTGAGTGCTTTAATAGCTTTAAATTCTAGAAGCTTTAAATTCTAGAATCATTACACTATTCCTAGCTAACATTGGTTTAAAAAGTCTCTCATGAAGGATCAATTTTAAGGAGCATAGTAAGAATAATAAACAATGTGCCTTTTCTTTAGATGCACTTTTTACATTTCTAAAATGGGGATGTATTTTACAATAGATGTATCTTACAATTCACTGTAAGGCAGGTTATAGTCATGATGTAGTTGTGTGAAACCTTCTGATGAGCGCTCTCAGATCTAGAAGTGCCATCATGTATGAAACAAAATATAGGTATTTGACAGAGTACAGGTAAACAGTTTTTATAATACACTTATTTGGAATTTTTTATAACCAGTGAGGAATTCGGTTGAATTTTGTGACACATTCTTCTATTGGAAGTGATAGGAAATTCCTGTTACCACTGAGATGCAAACTCTAAATGATTTTTTTTTATCAAATGCTTTTATGCTTTCTTAGGTATAATATGATAAGACTCCTTTATAATTTTTAACCGGTTCTCTCAATAACTCAGACTGCTTCTAACCCCAAATTAAAGCATCTAATGAGCCACACACACTCTTTTCTGATTAGTGTCTTTTAATACTTTTGTGTGTTTTTGCCCGCTTGATTTTAGGGGAGATCTTCAGTGGAATGCGGGAGAGAAAAAGTTGACTGGTGGAGCCAACTGGCAGCCAAAAGTAGCCCCCGCAACCTGGTCAGCAGGCGTCCCACCAAGTGCACCTTTGGTACGTAGCCACCTGAGGCCAGGGTGGTGCTGACTGTTTGCCACTTTCCTGGTGTATAGGGCCAAGTGCACTTTGTTTAATTTTGCTACTGACATTTTATTTTTTCACCCACATGGAAGGAACCTAAGCCATAAGCAATATTTACCAAAAGCAACTTGCGTTAACTTTCTATTTAATAAAGATTGTGACCTATTTTTTATTTTCATTATTTCAAAATAGTATTTAAGCTTCTTTAGCTATCAGTTCTATATTTACACGATTATGGAAACAACTTTTCAAAATCTTGAACATCATTGATCATTATCTATATTTTTATCTCCTTTCTTGCCCAAGTTACGTGATTGTCTTAATAAGTAAGGAAAAATGTTTTTTTTCTTACCAGAAAGATGGGGCAGTTTTCTATTGTGTAAGTGGACTTTCATTTTAAAACCCTATTAATTCTGCTCACCATTTTTTTTAAATTGAAACTACCAACACCATCTTTTCTATAAAATGTAAATAGATTTCATTTTTGTGTATTAAATCTCGATTAATACCATCATTCACTCTGGAAAGAGCATCTCACTGGAATTCATTATTTTGTGAGATTTGAAACCACAAAAAAGACATTTCCAGGGTAGGAAAATTTACTGTTTTCCTGTGTATGCCCCATTTTTAGCAAAAACAATGCTAGTCACTGTTTCCCAAGCTTATTTGTAATTTCACCTTGGCTTACTCCCTGCACCTAACTCACACTCTTCTCTAAGGCTTTCTTGATGCCATCTCTCCTTGTTGCCTGAATTAATTCCTAACCATCACCACCAACCCCAGCCAAACACATGGAAGTGAATTAATATAAATTAGAATATAAACACTTTAGATGCCATTAAAAGTAGTCATGCTCCATAAATTAAATACTTGAATTTTAGAATTTAAAATGTTTTCTTTTAAATAACTTGATAAATAGTAATGTTTTATATATAAACAGTTTTATTACAGTTTAATAAATAAAAATAAGTTTAAACCAATCGGAAAAAGACCTTTTAAACTAAAATTTACCACTAAACAATACTAATAGTATTAATTGAATTACTATTTATACCATAGTTTCTATAAGAAAAAACATTCTGTGCTCAGTATTGAGTTTTCAAAACCTCTAGTCTCCTTACCCAACCCCATGGTTGTTAGTTAGAATGAGGGAAATTTAAGGACTAATATTCTCTGCCTTTGGTGAGCTCAAAGTCTGAAAGATCTTAATTTTAAGGCATAATTTCTAACAAATAACAGTGAGAAAATTGCCTATTGTATCTAGGTATTTATCTCTTTAAATATTTCTTTGGATTATCTTAAAACAGTGTTTAAGACGACCATATTTGGCTATAAAATAAGGAGTTCCATTTTAATTTTACAAAGGATACTTAGTAAAAAACTATATGTCTCTTAAACTGACCTATGCCTAGGACGACCATATAATTTATTGTCCAAACCAGGACTCATTTTGAGGGTGAAAGGAGCATAATTATTACCCTGGACCTCAAGTGTTTACCTGTAGCTGGTGGCCCAGAGAGATGCTGAGACCATAAGCAGATAGTTCTCTGTCTTAGGGGGCTGCACTGCATTCTCAGAAACAGAAACATTTGAGAGCTACTATCTTGTTGGGGATAGAGGGAAAGAGAGTTAATAAATGTAAATAGAATCCCTAAAGAAAGAAAGGGCTTCTTTAGAACTGATCTTATACATCTCTGAATACCACATATTGACATCAAATCTCACAATTTATATTATCATTACCAAATTAAAGGAACTAATTTTCCTATTCTCTTCTATGCAAACTTAGGCGCCATGTGTTCTGAGAAGTTTATACTTTAGTGGTGTCACCCTTATCAGCAGGATAATCTTTTAATTGCTTTTTAACAGGTTGATTTCACAACAGTCTAGGTGATAGGTGCTAACAGAATCTAAGGTAGACTGGAGGAAAGGGTGGTGAGAATATGGGTACTTGGCAGATCAACTGTAGGCTTAAAACAAAAAGTGGTTGAGAGCCTGAAGTGAAGGTGGAAAGGAAGACAAAAAAGAAAATTTCAGGTAGAATCCACACTACTGGTGATCATTGTGAATGAAGCCAGAAGGCAGTGGTTGTCCAGGTTATGGGGCAGTTCACTAAGCAATGAGGCCATTTAACCAGGAAGCAGACAAAAGAGAACTACTTTAAAAATAGTATTCAGGGACCCCTGGGTGGCTCAGTTCATTAAGCATACAACTCTTGATTTTGGCTCACATCATGATATCAGGGTCATAAGGTGGAGCCCCACATTGGCCTCTGCGCTGGGTGTGGAGCCTGCTTAAGATTCCCTCCTCGCTCTTCCCCTCCTCTCTCTCTCTCTCTCTCAAAAAAAAATAGGATTAAGTTGGAGAGCTTACTTGGTCAACACATTTCCTGAGATCAAGACTGTAACCATACAAGGTTGGGAATTTATCAGATATTTAACAGCTGTTTTGCTTCTTCAGGACAACAAGGCCACTAATTATCTGATTGGCAGGCACCATCACTGAGAATGAGATTAATATTCTCATTGTTTTTAAAACTCCAAAACTCCTTATTTTTATTTATGAAGCAGAAGACTTTAAGTTGTTTGTAATTAAACTCCAGAGAGGAACAGACATTATGCTTTAGCATAAAGTATCCACAACAGCTGTGGAAAGAAACTAGAACAACAGAAATAATTTATCAGGAGGGCAGAGTTAACGTGTAGTTCTGTTTCTTTTGTTTATTTTCCTTGACATTTTAGGCAACAATAAATATAAAGGCGGTCAAAGGCAGAGTTATTTTATCTTTGTTAAGATAAAGTCTTAGATGCAGTCTATGTAAATTCACTGCCCTTTATCCCATTTACTGCAAAGCTCTTCTTTAACAAAGCTCTGGCTTTGCTTTTACTTCAAGAAATTATTCTGGCTTAATTATGTAAGAAGGCCTCTGGCTTCTTCCCTCCAGCCAGTTCTTTCATAAAAGGTCTCTTCTACTTTCCTATTCCTTAAAATATGTTTGAGTCTCCTTTTCTAAGAATATTCAAGGAAAAGAAGAGAGATGACTGACGTAAGACTTTGCCTCAGAAGCAGCAAAGCAGTGTTTCCATATTTCCTGGTAATCTGTAGACCTCTCCTTTCAAATAGGACATGAAAGGGCAGATGTGAGGATGAGCATCCTTCTGCTGCCTTTTAGTTTGTCCTGATAGACAAGAGCTGAGGTTACTCTTCCCAGTTTCTTTCAAATTTCCCTCTGTTGCTATTTGGAGGTGCGGCTATAGAATTTGTCAGAGCACAGAACTCAAGTTAGATCTAAAAATTGTTAACAGGACTTGAACCCTTGAAATATGTCTGCTGGCAGGGCTCAGTTGTCATGGCCATCAAGGACCCTGTGTTTCCACGGCTACTTCTTCCTGTTTTCCAGTGCACAACAGACCTCTTAAGTTTTCATCAAACTGGGAAGATACTTGAAATTCAGAAATATATGCATTTGGCAAGAGACCACAGAATCCACAATTTTTTCCCTAAAAACAACATTTTCATATGCCTACAGAAGAAACATTCAGTTGAACATTGAAAAAGAAAACAAAAAAAAATTAGGATAAATAATATTTGGGGAGTAAATTATTAAGAGTTAATCTATTTGGGCAAAATAGCAAACTTAGACTATCTTTAAAATATTTGACCCATTTATTTGCTCAGGAATTTCTACAAGTTCATTTCATTTTGATAACTAGTAAAAACCTTTTTTCTTTCATATCCTGAAGTTCTAATGATAACAATTCTGGTAAATAATACAGTTATCACTGTATGATACAATCCTGGTAAATGATAGGCTTCTGGGTCTGGTGAATAGTCTACCACCTAACCTATTGAAATGATGAGTGAAGAGTGAATCTGAAAATATAAGACCTGTAGCATAGGGGAGGAAAAATAACTTACCCTCTAACTTTCTGAATTCTTGGCTGAGACTCCTATAATGAAAGACAGGTTAGCAAGAGAAAAACAGTTTATTAATATGTATACCTCATATATATATATGTATATGTATATATATGTATGTATGTATGTATAGGGGAGCTCCCCAGGAAAACATGAGTAACTCCACAAGGTAGCCTAAGCCACTGACTTCAGCACCATCTTCAGCTGAAGACAAAAGCAAGCAAGCTGTTCAGTGGCCAGGAGGGGGAAATTACCAGGAAAAGCAGGGTAATAGAAAGGTAAGATTTGTTTTGTAGATTTCAGGCAGTGGATCTCCATTGATAAGATCCTCTTGTGATTTAGTCAACCTTCTCTTCCTGCTACAGTGAGAGAGATCCTTACAAACGGAAATTTCCAGAGATTTCCTTTGTAATATAAATGTCCCTTACAGAAGTTTAACTTCTACTCTGTTTTCAGAACTTCTCCTGCATCTGCTGTTTCTCAAAATAATATTATGCCAAAGAGGCGTACTTAGGGATGGCATATTCTGCTACCCTTCAATATGTTCTCTTCTTTTTTTATTTTTTGAGATAAAATTTACATAAACACTAAATTCGCCATCTTCACAATTTTAAAGTGTACAGTTTAGTGATTTTCAGTACATCTGCAATGTTGTAAAACCATCACTATTATTTAATTCCAGAGTATCTCCATCACCCCAAAAAGAAACACAGTCCCTTTTCAGTTTCCTCCTCTCCCTATCCCCTGGCACTGAATAATTTACTCTGTTCCTATAGATTTGTCTATTCTGGGTATTCAATATCAACAGACTCCTGTAATATGGAGGGTTTTGTGCCTGGCTTCTTTCACTTAGCACAGTGTTTTCAAGGTTATCCATGCTGTAGCATGTATCAGTACTTCATTCCTTTTTATGGCTGAGTAATCCATGGTTTGGATATACCACTTCATCAACTGATGGGCATTTGTGTTGTTTCCACTTTTTGGCTATTATGAAAAATACTTCTCTTATTTGTATAGAAGTTTGTGTGTGAATATATGTCCTCAGTTGTCTTGGG